TATATATGCAAGCACACACACACACACACACACACACACACACACACACACACACACCATGGCATGCATGTACCATGTACTCTCTGTTAGGAATAATGCAGCATGGGTTGGGACCACAGGTGGTAGTCCCAGCACCTCGGTCCTGGTTCCGGGATGTAGTGGGTGATGGACGGCAGGCAGATGGGAAACAGAGACCCATAGACGTGACTCATATTGGAAGTTTTATTGAGGGGGAGATACAAAAATAAGGAAAGAAAAAGAGAAAAGAGGTAAAGAGACACAGACAGAGGACAGAAGAGAAGAGGGAGAGGAAAGAGACAGGAAAAGTCCTGCCCCTTCAGAGGAACAGCGGGAAAGAGAGAATGGAAGTGGGTGTAGTTTTTTGTTTAAAGAATTAGGGTATTGATGGGGCTGAAGAGATGGCTCAGAGGTTAAGAACACTGGTTGCTCTTCCAGAGGTCCTGAGTTCAATTCCCAGCAACCACATGGTGGCTCACAACCATCTGTAATGAGATCTGGTTCTCTCTTCTGGCCTGCAGGCACACATGCAAACAGAACACTGTATACATATAATTAAATCTTAAAAAAAAAAAAAGCCAGGGTATATACACCTGCCATGCACAGGTGGGTGAGAGGCAGGGCCAGATTTGCCTGGATTACAACACCCTGTACCCCCAGTAAATAAGTAAATATGTAAAAGTAATATGATGATTTATAATATATTTGTAGTTTTATTTATTTATTTTTCCCGAGACTGGGTTTCTCTGTATTGCTTTGAAGCTTGTCCTGGAACTCGCTCTGTAGACCAGGCTGACCTGGAACTTACAGAGATCCACTTGCCTCTGCCTCCCGAGTGCTGGGACTAAAGGCGTGCACCACCAATGCCTGACTATATATTTGTAAATTTGATGCATTTTCAAGTTATTTAAAATGCTACTAGAATATTCCATTGTCAAGATGTGTAAGTAAACAGCTCTGTTCAGAAAACATTTGCTGTATTTTGGGGTAGAACTCCTGAGACAAAAGGCATGGTATTTTTGAACTGTTGCCAGATCATGCTTTATTAGTATTCTATTATTGTATACTGCATGGCTGTTTTCTTTGTTCAATGTCTCACTGCCAAAGTCAGGGCATCTTTGAGCTGTGTTTTCACTTGGAGGCTTCACTTAGGAGGAATCCACTTTCAAGCTCGTTCAGGTGTTTTCAGTATCCACTAGGGGTATTCAGTATCTAGGGGTCTAGGGCAGAAGTTCCTAATCTTTACTTCATGTTACTGAGGGTTTACTCTCAACCCCCAGAGATCAGGTCCTGTTATTCATCATCCCAAACAGAAAGTCTATGCCCATTAAACATAATTCCCCCCAACCTTGTTGGCCTCTACATTCTGTTTCTAAGAGCTTTCTTGCTGTATTACTTACTTTTTGGGTGTTATTGTTTCTGTTGTAATATAATACCATGGCCAAAGGCAACTTAAGTAAGAAAGGGTTTATTTTGGCTTATGGTTCTAGAGGGAGAGTCCATAATAGCAGGGGAGGCATGAGGGCCAAAACAGGAACTGAGCAATCACATCTCCACCACACACGGAAGCAGAGGGAGGATAAGAAGTGGGGTGAGGCTATAAAGCCTGCTCCTAGTGACTTGCTTCCTCCAGCAAGGCTCTACTTCCTAAAGGTTCCATAACTTTCCCAAACAGCTCACAGCTGGGGACCATTGTGTTTAAATATATGAGCCTATGGGGACCTTTTTCTTAATACTGGTCTCTTGTTTGGTGTGTTTCACTTGGCTCTTGGTATAATCTTTTTATTTTTATTTCATGAGCATGTTTTTGCCTGCATGCACGAGGGTGTCAGATCCCCTGGAACTGGAGTTACAGACAGTTGAGAGCTGCCATGTGGGTGCTGGGGATTGAACCTGGGTCTTCTGGGAGAACAGCCAGTGCTCTTAACCGCTGAGCCATCTCCCAGACCCAAACTTGGTATAATCTTTTAGGAGTCATTTGTGAGGCCAGGCAGTGGTGGTGCTTGCCTTCAATCCCAGCACTCAGGAGGCAGAGGCAGGCAGATCTCTGTGAGTTTGAGGCCAGCCTGATCTACAGAGCAAGTTCCAGGACAGTCTCCAAAGCTACAGAGAAACCCTATTTCAAAAAAAGCTACAGAAAAACCTTGTTTCATTTGTGTTGTAGCATATATCGGAATTTCCGTGCTTTTAAAGGCTGAATAATAATCCATTGTATTGCTGACCATATTTTCTTTATCTTCCTTTCATCCCCTGATAGATACTTGAGTTCTTCAAATTTCCTTAAGGCCAGCTGATTTGGCCCCATGCTATATCAGTAACCCATTGGCAGCTATAGCTGAAGAAGTGTTTTATTAGCCTTGCACAACAGGGAGGGGATGTGTGCATCAGGAGCCCAGAATCTTGGGGCTATGGTGGGATTCTGCTGCCAGGTGTCCTCTAAGAAGACTCTGCCCCCTGTTGGAAAAACCATCTTGTCCTCTTTATAGCACTAATCCATAAATCACACAGCAGAGTTCTAGAGATGGCATGGCAATCAAGCTTACCTTTGTAGCCAGGCTTCTTTCTGCTCAGGGGAGATTAAAGACATGTGCCACCACTGCCAAGCTGGATGACATGTTTTTTAAGTGGTAAGGTAAGTGTGAGAAAGCCATTAGTAAAGCTAGTGAGGGGGAGAGATTAGTGTTTACCATTTATAGTTTATGATTATGATAGCATGCATGAAGTGAATTCTTCCAACATGCTGTCTTAGAAAGAACTTAGAGCATTTAGTGACCAATAGTGACAGTGTAAGGCTGTAACTGCCAGGATTCAAGTCAGCCACATGCCTCACTGTCACTAGACATGGTGCAGTCTTTTGGAGATGGGAATTGAATCATGACGATTGTGCTCACCAGGAACTGGGGGATGGAAATTCAGACTGAATGTGAATGGGATCTATTAGTAACAAGAATATTACCCTGGAGGAAGTGGGCACAGGGTTATGTGTGGGAATATGCTCAAAGTACATTATGAACTCGCATGGAAATGGCCTTATATAATCCTGTATAATAAAAAATAGCTAAAATATTAAGAATGAAACCTTGGATTCAGCAGGGATGGTGTTTGAATAATATGCCATATGGCTTCAAGAAGGTTCCACATGATATGGAATGAGTGTACTTTGTGAGTATATAGGTGGCAGTGTCCCGGGTTAGGTTTTTCTTGGGAGAGACTGTTTAGTAGCTGCTTCTTGCTCTGTGCTAGTTACATTCTCTGAGAGTTCTAGAACTGCCTTGGTTGTGTATAGTCCTGCTGTGTGTGTGTGTGCGTGCGTGCGTGCGTGCGTGCGTGCGTGCATGCGTGCGTCTGTGTGAATTAAAAGGGCTTAAAGCAGTGGTTCTCAGCCTGTGGGATGCAACTCCTTTGACGAACCTCTATCTCCAAAAATATTTATATTACAATTCATAACAGCAGCAAAATTACAGTTATGAAACAGCAATGGAAACAATTTTATGGTTGGGGTCACCACAACAAGAGGAACTGTATTTTTTTTTCTTTTTCAGTTTTTCGAGACAGGGTTTCTCTGTATGGTTTTGGAGCTTGTCCTGGAACTTGTAGTCCAGGCTGGCTTCGAACTAACAGAGAACTGCCTGCCTCTGCTTTCCGAGTACTGGGACTAAAGGTGTGTGCCACCAACGCCCAGCAAGGAACTGTATTAAAGGAACACAGCATTGGCAAGGTTGGGAATCACTGGAAAATATCCAATGCAGAGAACTAATACCTGATAGCGATTGTTGTTAGTTGGGGACTGCCTGAGAGGAAGCAGAGCCAAACATAGGTCTGTCTTCTCCCCCTGGCTATTTTTCTGGCAGAACTGAAACTGTGTTCTTTCTCATAGGCAACTGCCATGTCTGTGGACTGTCTTGGGCAGCATGCAGTGCTTTCTGGGTAAGTGAGCCTTCAGAGTTTGTCTGCCACATGTTCTGGGGAACACACTGTAAGTTTCTGAGAAATTGGAAACTATCCTTAAGTTGGAAGACAATGAGAGGGTTTAGTATTCACGTCCTAGGGACCATCAGGGCACTTGCAGGGATTCTTTGCAGCTTTTTGATTTTTTTTCTCTCACGGGTAAGCAGTGAACTCACATTTTAGTGATTTGTAGTTTGGGCTTGCGATTGCAGTTTTCTGTCTCTTCAAGGAATCACTGTAGTATGGTCAAAGAGGCACTTAGGAGGATTGAGGGGCCTGGTTCTAGTTTGATGGTGCAGTGAGCTTTGGACATGTAGTCAGTTTACATAGCTGGACTTTGGTTTCCTCCTGAAAGAATTTTTTAAAACTATTTATTATTTATATGTGTATATGTATGTGCATGTGCATACATGTGTGCCATGGTGCATTTGTGGAGGTGAGAACACCACAACTTTGGGGAACCAACTCTTGTTTTCCACCCTAAGATCTGGGTATCAAATTCAGGCTATCAGGTTTATGTGGCAAATGCTTTTACCCACTGAATCATCTCACCAGCCCTCAAGAAGCAATTCACTTCCACCAAGAGGGAATTGAACTACATGGTTTTCTCACTCAAAAACTGTAAGATTCTGCCTTTGCTAATAACCCTAGTGTTGAACCAGAATACAGTTAATGTGCAGAGACCCCATCCCTTTCATGTTACTTAAGCTCCCTGCCCTTCCCTCTCAAATTTAGCTTTATTTTCTGTAATTTCATTGGTTATTTGCTTACTTTTTGAGACTGAGTCTAACTGCAAAGCCCTGGCTGGCCTGGAATTCATTTTGTAGACCAAGCTAGCCTTGAACTCACAGAGCTCCACCTGCCTCTCTCCCAAGTGCTGGGATTAACAGTGTATGCTACCACTGCCTGGATGGAAATGCTGATATTTCTATCATCTAATTTCTTTTCTTTTTTTTTTTTTAAGATTTTATTTATTTATTATGTATACAACATTGTACTTCCATGTATATCTGCACACCAGCAGAGGGCACCGGATCTCATAATGGATGGTTGTGAGCCAACATGTGGTTGCTGGGAATTGAACTCAGGACCTCTGGAAGAGCAGTCAGTGCTCTTAACCTCTGAGCCATCTCTCCAGCCCATCATCTAATTTCTTAATCAGTTAGAAAAACAAAACAAAAAATGAACCAAACAAAATAAACCAGAATTAGGACTGGGGAGCTGTCTTAGCCAGTAAAAATGTTTGCCATGCAAGTATGAGGACTGTTTTTGAGCCCCAGGACCCATAGAAAACGTGGAGCATGGCCCATGCTGATAGTCCTAGCACTGGGGAAGTGGAGACGGAGGGCTACCTGAATCTCATTGGCCAGGCAGCCTCGATGAACCCACAAGCCCCATGGTCATCGAGAGACCCTACCTAAAACAAAAATAAAAATAGATAGGGCTCTGAATCCACTAAACATGGCTCATATGAACTCATAGAGACTGAAGCAGCAAGCAGAGGCCTACACAGGTCTGCCCCAGGTCCTCTGCATGAATGTCACAGCTTTCGGTTGAGGGTGTTTGTGTAGCTCCTGCCTGTGAGGATGGTGGGTCTCGACTCTTGTGGCTGCTCTTGGGACGCTCCTCCTCCTGTTGGGTTGCTGTGTCCAACTTCAATAGGATGACTTTTGCTTCATCTTATATTTTATTTTGTCATGTTTGTTACCTCTTAGAAGCCTGTCCTTTTCTAATAAGAGACAAAAAGGGAGTGGATCTGGAGGGGAGGAGAGGGCGAGAGGAACTTGGTAGTAGTGCAGGGAGGGGAAACTATAATCAGCATATATTGTATAAGAAAAGAATCTACTTTCAATAAAAGAAAAAAAAGAATTTTAAAATATATGTAGTGTGATTTATGGGTTATGCTAATATGAAGTGAGTAGTTAAAATAAATTTACAAATATATGTGCTTATGAAGTCACCATTCTGATTATAGTATTTTTTTTTTTTTTTTTTGCATGTTAGAAGGCCCCTTCCAATCTGAAGTGTGTGTTTTTAGTTTGGGAAGTTTTTCCTGCCTTATATATATCCTTGATAACTTTCTCCCCCCTATTTTCTCTTTCCCCATTCTTTATTCTATAGTTGTGTTAATTCTCCTATGTGGGTTCTTTTCTGGCCTTTTTCTTTTGTTCTTCATTCTAAGAGTTTTTTATGATCACTTCCAGTCCCCCTATTAGATTTTCCTTTGGGATTTATTTCTTTGTTATTTGTTTGTATGTGTGTGTGTGCCTGCACAAATTCATGTTGGGGGTGTAGGTGCTCATAGCAGCCAGAGGTCATTTGATCCCCTAGAACTAGAGTTATAGGTGGTTGTTGAGTCACCTAATGTAGGTGCTGGGAACTAAACCTGGATCCTCAGCAAGAGCAGTAAGTGGGGTTTTAAGATGAAAAATATTATGTATATGAGTTTTCCTGCATTTAAATATGTGCACCAAGTATGTGCCTGGTGCCCTTGAAGTCCCTAACTAGGTATCAGATTTCCCAAAGCGGTAGTTACGGTCTGTTGTGAGCCCTTGTGTGGGTGCTGGGAACTGAACCCGTGTCTTCTGCAAGAGCACCTTTTAACTACTGGCCCATCTCTCTAGCCTTCTGTTAGATTTTCTTAATTTTCAACAATTGTTTTAATTTTCAAGAACTTTTTAAAGATTTGAATTTCTATTTAAAATGTGAACCCTCAAAAGAATAGACAGAGAGTGATAGAAAAGGGTACTCTTTTTCTGGCCTCCAGCTGTGGGCACATTTGCACATGCCCCTCCCCCAATAAAAAAGATCTTGACAACAACAAAAAAAAAGAGTAAAGAATGATTGGAATAGTCATTTATATGCTTCCAGACATTCTTGGGTTGTTGTTGTTGTTCTATTGTGCTTTTGCTTTCTAGCCCTCCCCCTCCTCTTTGCCTAGAGAAGGTGCCATCAGGTCCTGTACTTCAAATCAGCCTGATTCTGAGACACTTCCTGTCTTGAGCACTTGGGCTTGTTATCTGTCGTTACTCATTATCATTGCCATTTGTCCATATGCCTTCATTTCCTCTCCAGTCTTCTTTGCCTTGCAGCTTCCTGTCTTTTTTTTTTTTTTTTTTTAAACTATAACTATATTTTGGTAGGGCTTTGGGGATTGAGGAATGTAATAAACACACATGTTTAGTCACTGGTTTCTAGCCTAAAGAGCCCCCTTTCTGCTGTTCTCCATTGTTCTGCACTGTGTCCGAGCACCCCAGTAATGCACAGCTCATGGATGTTGTAGTCTGTACTGTTTTTCCTTCTAATGGGAAGGTGCTGTCCTTTCTACTGCAGGAATAGGCAATTCCTCTGCTTCTAGGTCTTTGTTCTTCATTTACTTTCTTAGGAGATGTGTGAAAATCTGTCTTCTCTGTGTTACCCTTATTCTCCCTTAACCATCATCCCTCTTTAGTGTCTCCACTATACTCTCTATCTAATTTTCTGGTTTTTTTCCAAACAGGGACTTTTAATCTTTTTCTTGAGCTTATCAGTCCTCATTGATACCCAGAGGTTTAGCAAGTTCTCCAATTAAAAATCAATTCCAGTTACTGCATGTATGTTAATTCGAAGACCAGTCATTGTTTTCTTTCTTAAAAAAACAAAAACAAAGCATTCTTGTTTTTCAGATTCTTTATATTGATTGATACTTTAAACTTATGTTACTTTAATTGTTAGTCCTTTTTCTTGGGTCATTGATTCTCCTCCTGATAGATCTGGTTTTGTTTCTTAATAGTAGATTTGCAGAGGAATTTGAGATTTTTCTGCAGGGTTTTGGCCCAGTAGTAAGTGTGTTCAATACATTTATTGAATGTAAAGCTCTGTGCCTGGTGATATTGGGCTTAAAAAGATCTTCTAGATATGGTGTAGCTTTCAGATCTGCAGGTGAATTGAGACAAGAGCCTTAACATTTGGTAGCCCTTTTGTAGAGAAAACACAGTTGAGATGTAGACCCTGCCAGTGGGATTAACTGGAACTCAATCCTAGCCGGGGCACTGGAAAGGCTGGGAGAGGAGTAGGTTGGAGCTGAATACAGAGAGCGCAGACACACTCTCATGAGTGGATATGGGTAGTGAAGGCCGAATGTGGAAGTAGCTCTCACAGGGATACAGTTCCCCTCTGCTTAGCCGTCAGCTTGGGTTACACTTGTCGTTTGTATACCCTTCCGAGTAGGTAATTGTCATGTTGTGTATCTGAGAGTTTTTGGAGCACTGTTTGCAAACTGCATGCAACTCAGGGTGTGCTTTTCCATCTTAATGTGCATGCTGCTATCTTGCTGTTTACTATAATGTTGATGTCCTTGTAGCCGAAGGTTCCTGTACATCGTCAATCTAGATGCCCCTTTTGAAGGTCACCGCAAAATCTCCCGCCAGAGCAAATGGGACATTGGAGCTGTGCAGTGGAACCCTCATGACAGCTTTGCACACTATTTTGCAGCTTCGGTGAGTTCATTTAAGGAGTGTCATCTTTTAAATGTGTCATTGAGGACTGGAAAATTTTTATCCTGTATAGAGAAGAGAATATAGTCTTCATTACTAAGTTTTAAAAAAATAAAAATAAAAGAGGTTTGTGGGGCTGGCAAATGGCTCAGGGTTAAGATCACTGGATGGATGATCTTCCAGAGGACCTGGGTTTGATTCCCAGTACCTACATGGTGGCTCACAACCATAACTGTCTGTGACTTGAGTTCTAGAAGATCTGATACCCTCATCTAGCCTCCATGGGCACCAGGCATGCACGTGCTACACAGATATACATGAAGGCAAACATTCATACACATTTAATAAAAATAAATAAATCTTTAAAAAGAGAGGTGTGCCTGTTTCTGAAAGAAGAGACAAGTTGTCTTGCAGGTTTTATATGTATGTATGTATGTATGTATGTATGTATATATGTATATGTATAATTAATTTGCTGGCCTCTAGTCTGTGTCAGGCTTTGTGTTCATTTCTAGGGACTGAATGCCGGTTTTTAAAGGGAAGCAAGTAGATGCCTTCATTTCTGTGTGTAGTGAGTTACCTTCCCTAGTGACAATATGACTATCCAGGGGCTTGCATGGCAGATGACCAGAAAGGTACTCTAAGGAGAGCAATGCAAGCTGATCTGGAGCTGGCCTCCTTTGCTTTTAGAGGGATCAAACACCTCCTCCATCGGCTGGAAAGATAGTTCAGCAGTTAAGAGCAAGTACTGTCCTTTCAGAGGGCCTGAGTTCAGTTCCTGGCACCTACCTTGGGTGGCTCACAGCTGTCTGTAACTCTAGCTCCAGGGGACCTTTCCTGGTCTGTGTGGGCACCTGCACTTAGGTGCATATACCCCCTCTCACTCATACAGATAATTAAAAATAAAATAAATTAAAACAAAAATACCTTATCCTGGGCTGGAGAGATGGCTCAGAGGTTAAGAGCACTGACTGCTCTTCCAGAGGTCCTGAGTTCAATTCCCAGCAACCACATGGTGGCTCACAACCATCTGTTATGAGATCTGGTGCCCTCTTCTGGTGTGCAGATATACATGGAAGCAGAATGTTGTATACATAATAAATAAATACAATCTTTAAAAAAAAATACCTTATCCATTCCAAGGGTGGGATTCTTCCTAATTGGAGTTCATTAGATTGGTTAACCTCTGCAGATTTCAAGTGTCTTATTTATACGTGAATTCCTTAAGGTTTATACCTAGCTTCTTTTTCTTTTCTGAGAAACTTATCACACCTCAAAAGATTTGGGGCTGTCATTTCTGACATCTTTCTCCAGATTCTTTGTCATCATTTTCTCTACAGAAATGCTTCTTAACCTTCCTAATGCTGCAACCCTTTAATACAGTTCCTAATGTTGTGGGCAACCGCCCCCACCAACTACAAAAATATTTTTGTTGCTACTTCATAACTATAATTTTGCTACTGTTATGAATTGTTATGATTGCACGTGTATATACATGTCTGTGGAGGTCAAAGGTCAGTGTGGGATGTCTTCCTTGACCATTTTCCGCCTTATTTTTAGAGACAGGGTCTCTCACTGAATGTGAAGCTCACTAATTTGGCTAGACTGAGTGGCCAGGCACCCCCAGGGATTCTCTTCTCTCCACTTTTCCAGCACAATGATTCTGCACCCAGCTTTTTATGTGGGTGTTGGCATGGAATGCAGGTCCTTATGTTTGTGTGGCAACCACTTTACTGACTGAGCTACCTCTACAGCACTTACTGGACTTTTTTGTTTGTTTGTTTGTTTGTTTTGTTTACCCTGTAGAATCTCTGCCACAAAAGTTGGCTTCTCTATGGCTCCATCTTCTTTACCTTAAGCAGTTGAGGTGAGAACTTCTATTCTGTTGTGTACCCTGTGCTGCTCCCTATCTTCTCATCCTTGCTTCTTTTCAGAGTAATCAACGGGTTGATCTTTACAAGTGGAAAGATGGCAGTGGGGAAGTTGGGACAACATTGCAAGGCCACACTCGAGTAATCAGGTAGGTATTGACCCTGGGCAGCTTCTTGGCCTGTCTCACTTTGTCACAATCCTTTGATGAGTGAAATGAAGATAACGTCATTGTCACATGCCTGACCTGCTGTGTCCTATTCATCCTGAGTAGCCAACAGGGCCTCAGTCCTCAAGGCAAATAACCTAGAGAACAGCCTGTTAAAATTTAGGAAGCATAACCTGAATCCCAGAAGACCTGGCTACAGCCCAGTCCCAAGTACAGGATCTGAGCTGATTTTTGCTACAGGAAGGGAAAAGTTGTTAAACAACAGAATTTTCCCATTCAGGGTCCTTAGTGGCCGGGAGTACAAGGATACACCCACCAGGCAGCAGCCACAGCTTGTCTTACAGAATTCCTGCATCACATAGTTGCCTCCCACATGGGGCTTTCCTTTCCTCTGGGTCACTATTTCCTTTTTCCAGAGAGTAGTAGCAGGGAGCATAGGTCTAGGGAAGATGACCTGGAAGTGACAGGAAAGGCTAGATACTCGTGTGTGTAGAATGTCTCCGGTACTGCCTTTCCTAAGACTGAGGGTAACAGGCAGGAAGTAAGAAGTTTGCCCCTGCTTAAGAGGGTTTACCCAAGGCTCCTGTGGCTGATAATCCAGAGATAATTTTGTATGTTTCCTCTTTGTTTTGTCTGTTTTTTCAGAGAGTGGGAAGAGGAAGAGAGTCAGGAGAGGAAGAGTTGGGCTCCAGTACATTTTGTTTGTTAGGACAGGGAAGGAATTTATTTTTGTTGTTGTTGTTTTTAAAGCTTAAAGACAATTTAATTTATTAGAGTTAAAAGAAGAACTCCAGGGTGGTAAGCTGTAGGTCTCAGCGCAGCCTGGAAGAAGATGGAGAAGAGAAAGAGAAAAAGCCATGCTGTCTGAATTAAACCTACATGAGGGTCAGCCACCTGCAGAGAGGAGGGGAGCTTTAGAGAAAAAGTGTTAGGGAAAGCATGCCCAGAGACAGAAGGAGCTGGTGTGGTGGCGCACGCCTTTAATCCCAGCACTCAGGAGGCAGAGGCAGGCAGATCCCAGAGTCCCAAGCCAGCCTGGTCTACAAATCGAGTTCCAGAACAGCCAACTGTTATGCAGAGAGAAAAAAACAGAGAGAGAAGAAGGAGGGAGGAAAGAAGGAAGGGAGGGAGAGAGGGAGGAAGGGAGGGAGGAAAAAGTTATGCTTTTCTGAGAAAAAGGGCAGGCTCAACAGAAACTCACTGCAGCTCTGTGTTGTCTGCAATTGGTTGTGCACATTTTAGGTTGAAATGTTTCTTTTTGGGAGCAGGCAGGATTATGGCTGGCAATTCTGGGTGGTAGGATCTGAGTTTCCTTCCAAGATCAGTTAACTCTTGTTCACCTGCAAAGAACTTTAGTGCCTTGGCCTGAGTTATCTTAGGAAGCTGCTGCCTGGTGTATCCTTGTACTCCCGGCCACTAAGGACCCTGAATGGGAAAATTCTGTTGTTTAACAACTTTTCCCTTCCTGTAGCAAAAATCAGCTCAGATCCTGTACTTGGGACTGGGCTGTAGCCAGGTCTTCTGGGATTCATGAAGACAGTATGAAACCACTAGAGACTGGATTTGTTAGAGCTTTGGAGCCAGACAATGAAGCTCTGTCTTTCTGTTGTTCTGTTTATTTTGTCTTTGCCAGCGACTTGGACTGGGCAGTATTTGAGCCAGATCTCCTGGTCACCAGCTCTGTGGACACCTACATCTACATTTGGGATATCAAGTAAGAACAGTAAAGAGGCATCGTCACTTAGTTGGTGGACATTTGAAAACTGTTAGAGGTTAAGTGTCTTAGTTTGATTCCTGTGGATGCAGATCCTGACACCAGGATCTGAGAGCAGGTCTAGTAAGAGGTAAGAGAAGAGCTGCCAGGAATGAAGACAGGCAGATCTGGAAGGCTCCAAAGAGCAGGGCATCTTCCCAGAGCCCCACTATAGAGCTTAGTCTTCCTGGGAAGCATCAGTCTCTGGTGGGAAACTCCTTCCTCAGCTGTGTCCAATTGAGGGCCTGGGAAGCAGGGAACTACAGTCACAGCTGATGGCTGCCCCCCAAATCTGAATTCCCCGGCTCTTCAGAATGGTCAGGGTTCTGCAAAGCAGTCCTCAGAGGCCAGGCAAATCCCTGTGGCAAAGCAGCACAGATGTTGGCATTTGCAAGTCGAGCCGGTCTGCTGAAGTGGCAAACAATGAGTTGCTAAGACATCTGATTAGCTTTTACTGGATCTCTGTCAGACTTCTGTTCCCCTGCTGTCAAAGAGGGGCTAATGGCCTCCTCACAGGGTTGCACCTCATAAAGTTAGGTTAAAGGAGCTCCCAGCCTGAGGTCTGGCTTTTCTAGGAACACTGCTTCTTTTGCTGATAGTTAGAGCTGGCTGTTCTGTGGGGACCATCTGTAGACACTGCTGTATTGGAGGCCCCCTTACAGGTCATTGCCTCCCTCATGGCAGTAACGTTGAGTTACTATTTTACCCTGCCAGTTGGGAGTGTAGACAGATAACAAGCCAAAGATGGCTAGTCAGACCCAGCAAAAGTGTTCTGAGGCAGTAAGGTGTGTGTGTGTGTGTCCTGATCAAATATGGCCACCTTATCTGCAGACCAGCCCTTAGAGCCTATGTGTCTAAAGACAACACCTGAGGAGAGGCATGGAATCCAGAAGTGGAGAGCTCTTCAGCAAATAAAAAGTCCTCAGGGAACTAAGAGGCAGGATTGGGGAGCACCCCTCATTTATATACAAAAAGTATTTTCGTCATTTAAAGACACTGAATTAGTTGGGCACAGTGGTGCACGCCTTTAATCCCAGCACTTGAGAGGCAGAGGCAGGTGGATCTCTGTGAGCCTGGTCTACAGAGCAAATTCCGGGACAGCTTGGGCTACACAAAGAAACCCTGACTCAAAAAATTGGGAGAGACAGAGAGAGAGAGAGAGAGAGAGAGAGAGAGAGAGAGAGAGACTGAATTGGCATTTCTCCTTTGGATATTTAAGTCACACCTGAATGGGGGAGGGGAGCCCTAAAACACACTTGTCAACAAGAAAAGATTTCTGAATATTCAGTGATCTAAATGAATAAAAAAATCAATCACAGGGGGCTGGAGAGATGACTCAGAGGTTAAGAGCACTGACTGCTCTTCCAGAGGTCCTGAGTTCAATACCCAGCAACCACATGGTGGCTCACAACCATCCATTATGAGATCTGGTGCCCTCTTCTGGTGTGCAGATATACATGGAAGCAGAATGTTGTATACATAATAAATAAATAAAATCTTTTTAAAAAAATACTCTACACATAAATATTTTTTAAAAAATCAATCACAGAATGAATTGAGGTGCTTTGCTTTCACACCTATTTTATAAACCAGTGAACCCGGGGTTGCATGAAAATTTCTCAGGTGAAAAGGGAATGTCAATTCAGGAGGTTTAAGAAACTCCTCAGCTCCAGGGAGCCACCTGGTTATCTCTAATGTCTTTGTGGAAAAAGTTACCACTGACTTTGTAGTCACCTGTTGTACCTCTTTGTATCCATGGTAATTATTCCTCACTAAAATAGTGATGACTTATAACATAGAATTTGTCATCATTTTTGAGTCTGCTGCTAAACCATGCTAAGTACATCTACATTATTCTGCAACTGTCTCCATATCCTAAACTTCATACATTAAACAACTCTCCATCCCCCCCTACTCCCCCCCCCTAGTACTTGGAACTGCACTCAGCTCTCACCAACTGCAGTTGCATGTAACAGGCTTTCTTTGGGCCACCAACCAGCTCCCAAATCATGACTCAAAGATTTATTATTAGTTATTAGTGCTTGGCCTTAGCTTAGGCTTGATTCTTGCTAGCTCTTCTAACTTAAATTAACCTGTTTCTTTTCATCTACATTTTTATCTTTCTTTTCTTCTGTTTGTCCTACCTGTGTCTAGCTGATTGGCAGCTGTCTGGCTAGCTGGCCCCAGGTGTCTCCCTCTTTTTCTCCCTCATTCACTCCTCTAGTTCTCATCTTTCAAGCCTGATTTCTCCTTCTACTTATTCTGTCTGCCAGTACCACCTATTCCTCTATTGCCTAGGTATTGGACCAATCAGGTGCCTTAGGCAGGCAAGCTAAATCAGCAACACATCTTTACAAAATTAAACAAATACAGCATAAACAAGTGTAACACATTTTCGCCTAAACAACTACAACACACCTTTACATAGTTAAATATTCCACAACAGTTCCATTTAGTAGTGTTCAATGAATCTGACCACCTCAGCTATCTCCTAGAAGAAAAGATAGTGTTTACATAGTTAAATATTCCACAACAGTTCCATTTAGTGTTCAATGAATCTGACCAACTCAGCTATCTCCTAGAAGAAAAGATAGTATTTACATAGTTAAATATTCCACAACAGTTCCATTTAGTATTCAATGAATCTGACCACCTCAGCTATCTCCTAGAAGAAAAGATGTTTGCGGTTTTTACCTTTTTGTAGCTGGCTGTTTCACTGAGCTTAAGTTCTCAAGGTTTATCCCTGAATATATACCGTATGTCATAGCTTCCTTCTTGTTTAAGATGAACAATATTCCATTGATGAAAATATCAACTTTTCATTATCAGTTGCTTCTGCCTCATAGCTATAGGGAATATTCTGGGTAGTTTGCATCCCTGTCCCCACCCAACACAGGATTTCATGCAGTTGAAGCTGGTCTCAAAGTCACTATGTATGCTGAGATTACAGACCTGAACCACTTTTGTTTTGCTTTTGAGACAGGGTCTCAATCTTTAGCCCTGATTGGCCTCCAGCTTGTGCCAATCCTCCTACTTCAGCCTGTAGAATGCTGGGATGACAAGTGAGAGCCAGGTGTGAACCATCAGGCCTGGCCTTTTATTTATTATTTTTTTGAGATAATATCTCAGTATGTAGCCCAGGTTAGCCTTGGGTTTACAATTCTCTTGTCTCAGCCTGGCATTTTCTTTTATTTTTTTCCTTTCTACTGGAGAGTGAACTCAAGACCTTTTCCATGTTAGGTAAATACTTTACCACTAAGGTATACTTCCAGTTCCCATAGTAGTTTTTAAACCCTGGGAAAGTCCTTGCAGTATTATGCTGTGACTGTTGCCTTGTTGTGGCTAGTAATAGGGACAATAATGAGGAATTCTTTTTTTGAGACAGGGTTTCTCTGTGTAGCCCTGGCTGTCCTGGAGCTCACTTCTATAGACCAGACTCAGAGATCTGCCAGCCTCTGACTCCCACCCAGCTATCTTTACACTTTTTAAGAAGTTCCTTAAAGCAATGTTAATTCCAGATTCCCCTAGAGGAGAGTAAAGAAATGTAAGCAAAGGGTGAATGGCATACAATGAAACAGGCATCTGACTTTTGATTTGTCTATTTCAGAGACACAAGAAAGCCTACTGTTGCACTGTCAGCTGTAGGTAAGTATGTACACCCCAGCTTTTCTTCCTCGGTTCTACTCATCCTGCTCACAACTCTGACTACTCACAGCCCATGCTCTATCAGGGCTGGGTGGAATTCTAAGTCTGGCATTCCAAGATGCTTGCTGAGTCCTAACCCTGTCCCAGATCCTAGTTATCTGCAGTCTTGCTCTCACCATTAGCTTCAATAATTGTCACCATATACCCAATCTTGTTTTACCCTCATTCCCTTTGTTCTTATTTTGAAGCAAAATCTGGATATTATATTACTTCTTTAAATATTTTATTATGTTCTCTCTCTCTCTCTCTCTCTCTCTCTCTCTCTTACACACACACACACACACACACACACACACACACACACACAAGTCTCTGAGGGCTGGAGAGATGGCTCAGTTGTCAATGTGCTTGCCATATGGCACCCCAATTTGATTCCCAGAACTCACATTAAACAAGCCTGGTGTGGTGGTGTGGGATTATAATCCCAGATCTAGGTAGGCAGAGACAGGAGGATCCCTGGGGCTCATTGGTGAGCTCCAGGCCAATTCATGTCATCCTGGTCTCATGAGCGCAGTGGCAGTGGCTTAAACTAACTGTGCTGATAGGGGGGTGAGAGTCAAAAGGGATGTGTAGTAGGGCTGGGTGTGGTGATGCACAGAGGCAGGCATAGCTCTGTGAGTTCAAGGCCAGCCTGTTTTACATAACAAGTTCTGGGCCAGCCAGGGCTACATAGTGAGGTCTTGTCTCAAAAAAGAAAAAAAAAATGTGTGGGGGTTGTGTACTACCCAAACTGCTGCTAATTCTAAATCTTGAGTCAATGTTTCCCTAAGACTGTTATGCAAAAACAACAATGAAAAAAATAGAGTGGGAAGGGGTCAGAGTGAGAGCTGAGGATTTTCTGTTGTCATCTGGGAGTCAGATTTTTGTGGCAAGTATGTCACCAACCACACTACTCCATTCCGGCTACTGCAGCAACTAAGTGTTCCCACTGATTGTGTTCAGAGTCACCTGTGGATTTTCCCTTAGAGGTTATCTCCTCCCTAGGTAACTGTGGTCTCGTTCCCATGTGTTAACTCATTTATTTGCAACTCTTTTTATGTGTACTGGTGGAGCCGGTGCAGTCATAGATACTGGAAGGATCCTCTACTTCCTATATCCAGGCTGGTAATCCAGCTTCCTGGACATGCTTCACTCTGCCCCAGAAAATGTGGAGGGCAGTGGTATTCTTTCTATGCTTTTGTTTTCTTCTTTGCAGCCGGTGCCTCCCAGGTCAAATGGAATAAAAAAAATGCTAACTACCTTGCCACCAGCCATGATGGTGACGTACGGATATGGGATAAGCGGGTGAGTGACCTCTCCCCTGTGACCTTTCTCCTGTAGTTGGTATTTAGTTTCCTCTAGAGGGTGTGGAGAGGGTGTTATTGAGTCACAGGGTTTGTCTCAATAGATTGAAGAATCCCATGGGGCATGGCAAATTGTCATTGTAACCAGATGACATTTGCTTCTCATCCAAATTGCTGTTGAAAGATGGTAAAAGAGTAAGGCACTATGATCAGTGGTTAATATAATAAATTTGGCCTGACCTAAGATAGAACCCCATTTTGCTGCTCCCTGTTAGCACATTAGGTAAGCCACTGTAACCTCTCCAAGTTTTCCTGTCCTTGTACATCTTTGTGTTATGGTTTTGTTTTGTTTGAGACAGGGCCTCACTGTGTATCCCTGCCAGACTTGTAACTTACTATGTAGACCAGGACTATATCGACCAAGTGGGCCTGGAACTCACAGCCATCTGCCTCTGCCTGCACACTTGTTCTGCCACCCCCAATGTTCTGTCTCCCCCCACCCCCCATGTTCTAACCCAGGTGCTGACAGTAAAGGTCTGGCTGTACATCGAATACCATACACATTTGAAAGAAAAGAGGTTATTGAAGCAGAGGTTTGAGGTGGCTCATCCTATCTGCTGGCATAGGCTGCAGGATCTGCTGGGGGTACATTGTGCAGTGTGCTGGCTGAAGTTGGTGTTCTTAGGAGAAGGTGATTTCAGAGAACTGGAATGGCATAGCAATGTTTGCTTTTGTTTTCTGTGTCTGTGGTCTAGTCTGCCAATAGGCCAATAGCCACCTTCCCTTGTGATTGATTTTATTCAATTTGTCACACACATCAATATAAGTAAATGTTCTTTTCTTTTTTTTCTTTTTTCTTTTTGGTTTTTTGAAACAGGGTTTCTCTGTGTAGCTTTGGATCCTGTCCTGGAATTCGCTCTGTAGACCAGGCTGGCTTCGAACTCACAGAGATCCTCCTGCCTCTGCCTCCCAAGTACTGGGATTAAAGGCATGCACCACCAATACCCAATTTAAGTAAATGTTCTTAATAAGGCCAGGTTTGTCCATGTGCCTGTAATCCCAGTGCTCACAAGTTGAGGGGAAGAAGACTGAGCTCAGTATAATTTGTTCAATTTAATTAATCCTTATTAGAAATTGCTCCTGGCATTCTAGAGTTTGATGTGAATGTCTTTTGTATTTAAATCTTTTATTGAATTTGGATTACTCCTTTAAAGAAAGGATTTTTTTTTTTTTTTTTTTGAGACAGGGTTTCTCTGTGTAGCTTTGGAGCCTGTCCTGGAACTCTGTAGAACAGGGAGGCCTCGAACTCACAGAGATCAACCTGCCTCTGCCTCCTGAGTGCTGGGATTAAAGGTGTGTGCCACCAACGCCCGGCCAAGAAAGGAAAATTTTAATAAGTTCCTTTTTTAACATTTTAAATTATGTGTGTGTAGGGGGTGGGAGGATGTGTGTGTACACATGTAGGGTATTTTGGGGAATCTTAGTGTTCAGTCACTAGAAGACATATGCTCTTACCCTCATAGTTGAGGTTGGGTTCCTTTGACTATCACAGTCCCTCATTTTATGTCAGGAAGGGGAACAGAAATGGTCCCCTCTTAAAGATGAGAAACTGCCACTACCTGTGTCTCCTGTTAAAACCATGTGTCAGGCTGTAGTGAGTAGAAATGAGACTGACAGGCTTACTCACAGGGCATGTAGAACAACTCTGGGTAAGTCTTCTGTTGTTGGGTTTATGTAGCTTAAACAAAGAGAGCCTGTGAAGGGTAGAGGCCGTAACTGTCCTGGCAGTGTTCAGTGTGCCCTCAGCACCCAGCAGCCTGTTCTATGGTTGTGGCAGTCAATGGGTTCTTTTAAAAGCAACAAACCCAGTGTCTTTGTGTTGCAGAAACCCAGTACAGCAGTGGAGTATCTAGCAGCCCACCTCTCCAAAATCCATGGCCTGGACTGGCACCCAGACAGTGAGCACATCCTGGCCACCTCCAGTCAAGACAACTCCGTCAAGGTGAGGAGTCCCCACCGGGGCTATGGGAGGAGCTGATAGTGGGAGGCATCAGGGATATGGGTCGTGATAGCACCTGGGAAGGAAGCATACAGTTTGCTGGTGCTGCATGTGCTGCCGAGGGCCGGGGTGAGTCAGCCAGGCTGAGATGGCCAGGCTCTCCTGAGTGGCAGGAGTGTGGAAGCTGACTGATGAGCTGCTTCTCATTTTCTTTCCCTCTCTGTGCGCCAGACAGAAAGCACTTAGGAAAGGAAAGTTTACCTGAGAAGTTGTGAAGAAGCCAGATGTATACACAGAGATTAAAGTCAAGGAGAAGAAGCCCTCACGATTATTAAAGCCACCAAGACTATAGTTTGTTTGTTCATGGTGGCAGGCCATCAGTTCATCATATGATTATCGTATCTACAAAGGTTATGACCTCATCATTGCCAGGGTAGAGTTTTGTTAATATTCTCTACCTTAAGACCTGCTCAAGATTCGTGTTCAGGAGCCCTGTCATTTTTGATTGATCTCAGAGACAGTGTTTGCCCTTTGTTTGTTTTCTCTAGCTGTGGCATCAGCCATGCACCCTTGATGAAAGCAGTGGCAGGGCAGGGTCGTCTCTGCTCCATCCTTCCTTCTGTGTTCAAGTCTATCTCTGTAGGGCAGGACTTGACCACAGAAGTTAGTTCAGCATACAGTGAATATTATTATATTGGATTTACATAACTGTAATCTTCCTGATTTAGTTAGCTAAGCTTGAGTCCGAGCCTTTCTTTGTAAGGACTGAAAATACCTCTGTCTGAAGGTTTGTAAATCCCCTGGCACTGTGCTGGAGTGAGTTGTTTGTTTGTTTCACTTTAGGTTTTGTAGGTTTCTGTTTCTGATTTCCCAAATTCAGGAAACAGAAACTTATCCCATTTTGCATTTGAAAAAAAAAAAAAGATTAGGGACGTCCTGCCGTGTTTGTTGTAAAGATTGGGTGAGATTAAAAACTTTAGATGTCTGTCTGAAAGCAGTAAATTGTCAGGGCATGTTACCTGTTGTTAAATTACTTTTAGATGTAAAAGTAATGCAGGATCGAAACCTGTTATTTTCACCTTTGAACTACAATGGTTATTTAATAGGCGGTTGATCTGCCCCATGTGGTCCTGATGAAGTCTAGAAATCCTGCTGTAATGTTGATAGATGTAAAAGGAAGGTTCTTTGTGTGTGTGTCTGACAGTACATGGTTATGAGGGTGGAACTAAAAATACACTATTGAAATATTTCTTTGGAGGACGAAAAGCAGTGAGTTTGAAGGCCATGCTTACTTCAGTAGTTGAGGGGTTTCTGGTTGGTTTGTTTGTTTTTTTTTTAATGGCATTTATTTTACAAACTTTCTTTCTTGTAGTTCTGGGATTATCGCCAGCCTCGGAAATACCTCAATATTCTCCCTTGCCAGGTGCCTGTCTGGAAAGCCAGATACACAGTGAGTGAGCTACCCCAACTCTTGTCTGGAACGTTCATTTTCTTGTTTTCATTGTGATGCAGTTTTCTCCTTTTGTCTTGGTTTGAAGTATGGTGAATGTAGTAATGGTCTTAGGTACTTACCTTTGGACGGGTAAATACATGTTCCCAGAGAAGTAAGCTTGTGAAGATACTTAATCACCAAGGGTAGCTCAACAGGGTAGAGCAGAGAAGAGGGGCCAGGGCAGGAAGCCGGTCAACTACAGTAGGACTCTGGCTTTAGGTTCAGAGGACCTGGTTTGGGGCCCCCCTCCACCATTTAATGTTTTTGTGGCCCTGGAAAAGATACTTGGTTTTAAGTAATAATTTCTTTATTTGCAGAGGTGAAAGGATACTTTTCACTATGCTCTGAAAGTTTTTTAAGACTTCGTGTTTTTTGTATGTATGCCTGTGGAAGTATGTACCGTGTGCATGTAGGTGCCCAGAGGAGGCAGAAGAGAGCTGGGGTTATAGGCAATTACACAGCCAACGTGGATGCTGGGAATGGAACTTGGGGTCTCTGCAAGAGCAGCAAATGATCTTTAACGCTGAACCATCACTTCGGCTCTAAGATTTTATTTATTTTTATTTGTGTGTGTGTGTGTGTGTGTGTGTGCGTGTGTGTGTGTGTGCCACAGGTGTGCAGGTATCCACAGGTCAGAAGAGGGCATCGGATCCCTTGGAGCTGGCGTTATAGGGTTGTGAGTAGCCTGGTGTGGATGGTAGGAATGCTCTGAAGAGCAACAGGAACTCCTAACCGCTGCTGTCCGCTCCATGTCCGCTCCAGCCTTGCCCCTCACTTTCATTACTGTGATAATATTCGCCATTCTAAAGTGGACAATTCTGTGGCATTTGGAATATCACAATCTGTCTTCCACTTGAAATAATGTATACGAATGTGCTTTATAAATCACAAAATGCTACAAATAGGTTATTATCCACCTCCAACCACTTTTCCATGGCCACATTGATAGCTGTGAGTCAGAGATAAGTGTATTTCCTTTAATGTCACTTTGAAAGCAAGCACAGGGATGAACAAAGCTACATTTATGCATTAGTCTGTCACCATGGGACATTGTAGAGCAAAGAAGATAATTGGACATGATGTTTTTGCGTCTGTGATCACTTGCCGAGAAATGAGACTCTGTTCTCAGGAGCTGACATCTCTGGGTTCATGTTTGCTTTCAAAAATAAACATGGAAGTTGGGGGTTGGTGCTGGGAGGAGAGGGTAAGATAAATAAGTGTGCTCTTGTCTAATGATGCCTTTTTCCTTAAATAACAGAGTCTAGATATAAACCAAATGGGCTCCTCTGCTTCCCTACAGACTAAGTCTTTCTAAGTCAAACAGCAGTCCTGGGGTTACTAAGTTTTCCTTTTTTTTTTTTAATTTATCATTTTTTTAATTTGAATTAGAAACAAGATTATTTTACATGACAATCCCATTTCCCTTCTCCCTCCCGTCCTCCCCTAACACCCTCCCCGACTAAGTTTTCCTTTGATTTAGTGTCACACCGAGGCAGTGAGAAGGTGATGCAGATTTTCCCAGTGAGCCTTGCACACTCATTCCCGAGGAGAAACTCAGAGAGAGTAGGTAGGACATGGAAAAGAAAGAACTATTTTCAGAGTTATTGTTAATCCCACCAGGCGAGAATAAGAACACTACCTTGATGGAGTCCCAGCACTCGGGAGGTAGAGGCAGGCGGATCTCTGTGAGTTCGAGACCAGCCTGGTCTACAAGAGCTAGTTCCAGGACAGCCTCCAAAGCCACAGAGAAACCCTGTCTTGAAAAACAAAACAAAAAAACCAAGAATACTGCCTCAATTTTGAACCAAATTTGACTTTTTTTGTTGCTGTCTTTTTGTTTTTTGTTTTTGGTTTTTTGAGACAGGGTTTCTCTGTGAGCTTTGGAGCCTATCCTGGCACTCGCTCTGGAGACCAGGCTGGCCTCGAACTCACAGAGATCCGCCTGCCTCTGCCTCCCAAGTACTGGGATTAAAGGCGTGCACCACCAACGCCCGGCTATAGAAACATGTGGCTTGTCATGGGATAGGGACAACAGCCTCCAGCATCTCAGGAAGTATCTGACACCGTTGGGCAAGGGTCTTACAGGGTAGAGGCCTTTTGTTTTATGGCTCTCTTAGACACAGTAATTAAAGCTTAAAACATAATTTTGGCTCTCACATTATCCAAACATTTGGCTTAGCCTTATTTTCCATTTGATGCGTTTCATTCCATTGTGAGAGAGAAGGCTGTATGTGGTAGACAGCTTATGGTATTTGAGAAAAATTTCTCCAGATGAGCTTGAGCCTTCCATATATATATATATTTTAAATTAGAGATAGGTTCTTAGCCTGGTGGTCATGACACACGCTTTAATCCCAGCACTTGGGAGGCAGAGGTAGGTGGATCTCTGAGTTTGAGGCTACTCTAGTCTATAGCATTCCAGGACAGCCAGAGCTACATAGAGAAACCCTGTCTTGAAAAACAAGCAAAAAGAAAAAAAGATAGGTTCTTCCTATGTAGCTATGGCTAGCCTGGCCTGGAATTTGATAATGTAGACCAGGCTAGCAGCAAACTTGTAGCAGTCCTTCTGCTTCTGCTTCCTCAGTACTAGCATTTCAGGCCTGATCCATCATGCCTGGTGTTCATCATGTAGTTTATTTCAGTTAGGAAGAACTCCAGCTTTGGTTTTGGCTGATTCTCCATGGGATAATCACAGCTTTCCCATCTCATCTGTAGCCTTTCAGCAACGGATTAGTGACTGTGATGGTTCCCCAGCTGCGGAGGGAAAACAGCCTGCTCCTATGGAATGTGTTTGACTTGAACACTCCAGTGCACACCTTTGTGGGACATGATGATGTGGTCCTGGAATTCCAGTGGAGGAGACAAAAGGAAGGTGGGTGAGGAAGGTGGCTCTTTTCTTCTGAGCTCTGGAGAACGACTGTAGCAGTCATTTGGTATAGTGAAGAGGTGGCAGAACAGGGCTCGTTCTAGGAGCCAGAGGGCAGGGAGGGCTGTGTTTAATTATAGGTGTATAAAGGGAGTATGTAGCAATCTCTCTCTCTCTCCTTAGTTCTCTCTTCTCCAGCTTCCATTGTAATTTCTCCTGCTTGGAAGAGATCTGCTCCAGTAAGAGGTTGAGAGGGGTTTGTGGACTGAAGAACAGAGATTCTCAACCTGCACTGTAGGTCATGACCCCTTTGGAGTTTGCATACCAGATATCCTACATATTAGATATTTGCATCACAGTTCATAACAGTAGCAAAATTACATGAAGTAGCAACAAAATAATTTTGTAGTTGCGGGGGCGAGGGGGGCGACAATCACCCCAAAATGGGGTTGAAGCATTAGGAAGAGTAGGTTGGCTCACACCTTTAGTCCTAGGGCTCGGGAAGCAGAGGCATGTGGATCTGTGAGTTCAAGGCCAGTCTACAAAACAAATTCAGTGAAATGCCAACAATACACAGATAGACCCTATCTCAAAAACAAACAAAACCATCCACCACTTAAGAAAACCTAAACCAACAAACCAATAGCAGTTTTCCTCCTACCCTGCCTGTCTTCCTCACTTCCTTCTTTGTCTGTTTGTTTATTTATTGGTGCTGAAGATCAATCCTAGGACCTTACACTTGCTACTAGTGAGGTATGTCCCTGTCTTTCACTATCAATTTGTGGAATTCCTAAAGCTAAATTAGATTTGTCTGTGTTTTGAACCCTCCATAATTTAATTATCCTGAGTGTTTTTAAAATTTGACCTTCCCGACCTAATGTTACTCTGATATAGTTTTACCACTGTGTCACCTCAAGTTTTATTGGACCACCTTATGCTTTGGCTTTGGTTTTCACTGTGAGGAAGGACCAGGATGTAGTAGTTAAGGGTAAAGGATGCCTAGGAAAGAAGCAATAGTCATAGGAGTTGGTTGTTGCTCAAGGACCAAAATGCAGAGTGAGATTAAAAACATTTAATTGAACACAAAGGAAGCTGTTTGATGAGTAAGAGAAATTCCAAAGCAGACTGACGATAGAAGCCAGATCCCTAGGTAGCCTAAGTGAGACTTCAGGGCCAAGACAAGGAGTTGGGTGGGCAATTAGGGAAAACAGGAAGATGCAAGAAGGTAAGTCAGTGGGACAGCAAGGCCCCCTGGGAATGAGCAGAAGTGGCATGGAAGGCTCGGTTAGAGGAGCTGAATTTATAGGGCACTTAGGTATACCTTTCCCTCAAAGCCAGGTGCTTGTGGAAAGGATGGATGTAGGGTCAGAGCATTGATGACTGTGAACATGAGACTAGGTGGCAGAACTTAACAATGATGCAGAAGCTTGCTTTCTTGTTAGGTGTGCCTCAGGACACATTAAAACACTGGGTGACAACTGTTGGTTGAAGGTGGTGACACAGAGAAGGGACTATGAAGAAGAGAACTTGCCCTTGGCCAAAGCCCACTTATATCCTCTTATCTTGTACAGATCACATTGTCTTAGTGTCCCTATTCAGGAAATGAGGGACTCAAGTGAAATTTATTATAAATTCTGTGTTGTCTGAAGATGGCCATGGAGGACATTGTAGACGCTCAGTAGTTACCCCAATTATGCTCATCTTTTTTTTTTTGTTTGTTTTTGTTTTTCCAGACAGGGTTTCTCTGTGTAGCTTTGGAGCCTATCCTAGCACTCTCTCTGTAGACCAGGCTGGCCTTGAACTCACAGAGATCCGCCTGCCTCTGCCTCCCGAGTGCTGAGATAAAGGCATGCGCCACCAACGCCCAGCTCTATGTTCATCTTTTATAAGCTATTTCATGAAGCACCCTAAACTTCTTTTGAGTCATCCCCTTTGACTGGACCCAATATCTAAAAATATGAATCAGCTAATTAAGAGGGTTAAAAGGTTGATTATTTACTTTATAAAGAGATGTATTATTTTACAAAAATGCTTTGAGCAGTGAGATGCAATGATGCATAAAAAACAATTCATTTTTACAGACAATTACCTTCATCCCAGCTCCTCGGGAGCATGTTTGCTGGGGTGGAAGTTTAGGTGACATTAGGTCTCAGCATCCCTCTCTGTCTGCTAATTTGTCAATTATTGTATCACTTCATTTCTGTTTCTGCTCTCATGGACTTTCCCAGGGAGTCCCAGCTCTCATTAGTCTCTGTCCTCTTCTCCGGTGTTACTTTTCTTGATGTTCTTCACCACCAGTATCTTATTACTTACTGACTTGCTAGTCTTTTCCACCATTGGAACTGTCATTTCCATAAAGACATGGTTTTATTCATGCTACTTTCTGGGGCCTAGGCGGGTGTCTGCCATAGACTAAAATGTTCAGTAACTATTTGTGGGATGTATGTACTTATGAATGAGTGAGTGAGTGAGTGAATGAAGGGAAGGAAGAATCAATCAATCTCACTCCATTGCTGTCTGTAACAAAATGGATATCAAATCTAGAGGATTTGTTTTTAGGATTTTTATTTCATGATTTCCAGGGTCCAAGGACTACCAACTCGTCACGTGGTCCCGGGATCAGACATTGAGGATGTGGCGGGTAGATTACCAAATGCAGAGGGTATGTATGCAGTGCTGTTATAGAGAAATATAAGCGGATACACCAGAAATTTAACCAAAAGATACAAGAAATTAGAGAATACATTATCATATGCTGTGGTGGGCTGGTGGCTTGTGTATGTCACACTGGCTTGGAGGTCTTTTTTTTTTTTTTTTCCAAGACAGGGTTTTTCTGTGTAGCCCTGATTGTCCTGGAACTCACTCTGTATATCAGGCTGGCCTTGAACTCACAGAGATCCGCCTGCCTCTACCTCCCAAATGCTGGGATTAAAGGCATGTACCACCAACCCAGTGCCCATCTTGGAGGTCTTTAAGAGCCAAAGTAGTCTGCACTTTAGGGCTAAAGGCTCTGTTTTTCCCTCTTGTCCTAGTATGGACCATATTGGGCAAATGGCTTAGCTTTTCATTCCTGTCTCTTTTCAATGGATTGAGAGGCCTGCCCTTATGCTCTGCAGATGTTTATAGCCCTTTCATCCATCAGTGTCACCTTCTCTATGACGTTCCTTCCACTGTTTCCATATATGAGCATTTGTTTTTTACATAAATGGAAGCGGTACCTGGTATGTTGCTCTTCTTCTCATCCAGTGGCTGAATCCCTTGATGGTGAGAAACACAGCTCTTTGGTGTTTCATTCCCGCCAGCATTTCCTACACCAGCTCCTCCAGGACCAATGGGAAATGCTGGGAGAAATTTATAGCACTGCTTGGTCTAAACTCACCTGAGCACTTTGGTTAAGTCCTATTATCTTATGACTTTTTATTTAAATCTGTATTTTCTAGAACATACCATTTGGTCCAAATGCTTAAGGTTATGGTATTTTTGTTTGTGAGTTAGCTGAATAATTCCATTAAGACTTGGAATTTGAGTTGATTTTTTTTTCCTTAGCATTTTAACTCTACTCATGATGTAAAATGTCTAGAGTAGAGTAATAGAGGAGTATATTATCCTTTGTATTTAACCAGAGAATGTTGGTGGTGGGTAAAATATATTTTGATTATATCAGTTCTTAGCTGATACATCCCTATTCTTTATGATTCCCATTTTTTAATACTGAACTCTTTAGCTAGACATAGTGACCATTTCCATTACTTCTCTAGCTCTGCACCTTTACCCTTATGTTTTGTTGTTTTGGTTTTTGGTGCTGCTGTCAATCAAACCTAGGCAAGCACTTTAACACGGAGACACATTCTCCATCCCACCCTCTGCCCTTGCTTTCAGCTCTGTGCCAATGACATACTGGATGGTGTTGATGAGTTCATTGAGAGCATTTCTCTTCTCCCGGAACCAGAGAAGACCCTACACACTCAAGACACAGATCACCAGCCCAACTCAAGCCACGGAGAAGAAGATGGTAATGCAATCGATATCCTAGGTGAGTGGTCCCACTATGTATCCCAGAGTTACATGGCAGATTCCCCAGAACTCTCATTTTCTAAACATTCCCAATATTGACTGTCTCTCCTGGTAGCCTTAAAGGAAGATCCTCCCAGCAGTTTGCTGGAAGAGAGGAAATCAGACCAACTAGGCCTGCCTCAGACTCTGCAGCAGGAATTCTCCTTGATCAATGTGCAAATCCGGAATGTCAATGTGGAGGTAAGTCCCAGTAATGAACTGGACTTCATGCTTGTGGACGGGTTGTGTGGGAGTATGGGTCTGTTGGAGCTGGAGTTAGAGGCAGTTGTGAGCTGCCCAACACAGCTGCTGGGAACTGAACTTTGACCCTGTGGGAAAACAGGAAGTGTGCGTAACTGCTGAGACATCGCTCTAGTCCCAGGCTTCTTTCTTAATTCCTACGTTTTCTAAAGAAAGAGCTGTTTCCCAAATGCAGACACCTTTGAAGGTCATGTGCCATGGCATTCCCTCAGCATCTCTCTAGCCCCTTGCTTTACTGTGTGTGATGAGGTTTGCTCTGGGAAGGCTTACTGATTGACAGGATTATGGGGGAGGCTAATGGCAGAGCTGAATTTGGATCTGGATTTCCCAAATCTCATGCTATTGTACTGTGCTTTTCCACCTTCCCTTTATGAGCTAGTTTCCTTTGATGTAAATTCAGAGTAAGAAGGTGACCTAAGTCTCTTGGTTCACTTAGCACTTGAAACCGACTTGGGCCAGAAGGTTATTCTTCGGTGACAGGGTCCTGAGGATTACATGGCCAAGAGGTGAGACGATGAAGAAGACAGAAATCTGGGATCAGGAGGTCTTGCACAAGCTATGTCTTATGCCAAGCAAACTTACTAAGAAGTACAAAATCTTATATACTGTTTCCAGGGGGATAAATGGGACGACGCCAGCAGAAGTTATCATACAATGGGACAAAGTCAGCAAGATGCTAATCAAGCAGTGTTGCACAAAGAGAACACAGGGTATTGCAAGTACATCACAGACTGACCACACAGCAGCCCAAAATCCTAACTCATTCAGGGTCTAGGGCTCAGCCCCAGACTAGTCTGCCCCTTGGCAAGGACACAAAACTAGGCTCCTTTTGTGGTTTCATCAGAGCCTCTGAGAAGCCTTGGGTTGGCCTGGCTCTCAATATGGAACTCTCTCTCTCTCTCTCTCTCTCTCTCTCTTCGCGCTCTCTCCCTCGCTCTCGCGCTCTCTCTCTCTCTCCCTCTCTCTGTGTGTGTGTGTGTGTGTGTGTGTGTGTGTGTATTTGTGTATTTCAAAATTGCTTGCTTCAGAGAACCGAGTGTCACTCCAGGAAGAGATTTTAAAGCTTTGCTAATTTTGCTTTTGCTCAGAGTTATTTCACTATAGACAGATAAGCACTGCAGTGCTGTGATTTGCTTGGTCTTTGATGCCATTTTGTAATGTGAAGTGTCACTCTGCTTTACAGATGAGGGAATGGAGACAAGGTGCAAAACTACTGTTTAGTGGGAAGAGATAATACTTGTTTTTGATTTTGATTTTTAAAATCTTAATTTTTAAAAATTTTGTGTGTATAGGTATTTTGTCTGCATGTATGTCTGTATACTACTTGTTAGCAGTGCCTGCAGAGGTCAGAATAGGACACTAGATCCCTGGAAACTGGAGTTACAGACAACTGTGAGCTGCCATGTGGGTGCTGAGAATTGAACCTGGGTCCTTTGGAAAAGCAGCTAGTGCTCTTAACCACTGAGTCATCTCTCCAGACCCCTAATGATAATATTTAGATTGAATTGAATTTAGTTGCATAATTCAAGTTTCTCAATTTCCCATGGGTTTGGCTCTTTTCATTGTACTTCAGCTACATTCTCTAGTTGGCCATATTGGAAATCATCAGAGCTAAAGGCTAGTGTAATTGCCTATCTGTATCAACTTAGCCTATGCTTCGGTTGTCCCAGTTGAGAACAGTACCACTACTGGTTTTAGAAAGAGGCCTTGATTCCAGAGTTGTGCAGCTTTCACCTGCACAATGTTCTAATTCTAGAACATTCCCATCACCCTAAAAAACAAAACAAAACAAAATTCTGTAACCAGTAAAGTGTGATGCCACATTTCAGTAATCCCAACACTCAGGAAAGATCATGAGTTCAAGGTTAGCCTTGGATGCATAACAAATTCCAGGCCAGCCTGGGGCACATAGTAAGAACCTGTCTCAACAAATGAATGAATGAGTGAATGAAATAGATAAATAAACAAATGAAGCAACTCCTTTGTGCATCTGTCAGGTAGATCAGAGCTTAAGAGTACTGGCTACTCTTTCATAGGACCCAAGTTTGATTCCCAGCACCACATGGTAGCTCACAACTGTCTGTAACTCTTTTCAGGGAATCTGACACCTCCCTGGCCTTTGTGGGTACTGCAAGCATGTAGCATGCCCTCATACAGATAAATAGAAAGTCTTTAAAAAGAACATCTTCCACTACATTCTGTTAATAATCATTAGGTGTGAAAGAATTCCTTTTGTGGTTATTAAAAAAAATCTCAAATTTCTAAATCTGTAAGAATAAAACTTTTTAAAATGCAAAATGAATGTCTTTACCTGTTACATATGTATAAAATTAAAAAGTCATATATATATATATATGAATTTATTTAAATCAGTATTAAAACTTAAAAATCTGTTCTGAAAATAAATTATATTTCGAACTATTTGTTTTTGTAGGCACTTTCCTTTTATTCAGTTACTAGAAACATGAGCATTTATGCTGATTGTTAAAATCCATGTGTATTCTGCTGAGGGTGTGGCTTGGGGTAGAGTAGTACTTGTGTTGCCTGTTCAAGGCCCTGGGTCCAAGGCTCAGCACTGCAAATAAAATACAGCACAGTATGATAGGGTGAATGTGTTTCATCTCTGAAGACCCTTTGCAGTTTGTCTCCAAAGCACCTTGCACTTGTGTTTTACAGATGGACGCTGCAGACAGGAGCTGCACAGTGTCTGTGCATTGTAGCAACCACCGTGTCAAGATGCTGGTGACGTTCCCAGCACAGTACCCCAACAATGCTGCTCCTTCTTTCCAGTTCATTAACCCTACCACCATCACATCTGCCGTGAAAGCCAAGCTGCTGAAGGTGAGTGAGGCTGAGCTCCCAGCTTCAAAGTCTCTATGCGCTGTAGCAGGCATTGGTGAGGTTGAGCACAAACCTGCATCAGTAAGATTTAGAAGTTGCCTGTTCCCCAGATGCTGCAGTATCTGCTGAATAGCTACTGTCTTGGCAATCAGCAGTAGGACAGGGTTCTTAACCTGCTTTTTTGAGGGGGTGGGTATGGATGTCCTGTGGAATTCTAATAAAAAACTGTTGATTTTTCTTCAGAAAAACATTTACAAATGTTGGATCTGAAGGATTTCATAAATATCGAATGCAAATATATTGACTATAAGTAACGTGTTTGCAAATTTAGAGCTTTGCATTAGTCTGAGGTTGTGAACTCTGCAAGGCAGTTTTTTTCACTTATCTAGGAAGAATAGGCAAGATATATTTTGAAGCTAAAAATATTTGAAAATGTACAGTCATTTAAAAATCTCAGGAAAAGGGGCTGGAGAGATGGCTCATAGGTTAAGAGTACTAGCTGTTCTTCCAGAGGTCCTGAGTTCAATTCCCAGCAATCACATGGTGGCTCACGACCATCTATAATGAGATCTGGTTCCCTCTTCTGGTGTGAAGGCACACATGCTGGAGGAACACTGAATACATAATAAATAAATCTTAAAAAAAGAAATCTCAGAAAAGAAGCCCTGTGGGTTCAGAAACTGATGTGTGTAAGATAATTAATTTTAATTGTACTTTTATTTAACTCAGCACATCTAAAATAATATTATCATGTCAACATGCAATTAGTGAAAATGAGCCAGACACAGTGATAACAGTCCTGTAAGCCATGCACCTAGCATGAGAAGCAGGAGGATCAGGAGTTCAAGGTTATCTTCAGCTACATAGCAAGTTTGAGGCCAGCCTGGGCTACATGAGTCCTTGGGTCAACCCCCAAAACGAGATACTTTACCCTTCTGTGAGTTTGGAGGATGCACATTTCCTGTGTTCCCTGCAGAGAGCAACAGCAGTGATCCAGTTCATGTGCCTGTCTTAATGTGGGTGTCAGTTCATATCTCTAGCATGTACCTTAAAATGTCAGGGGTCACCGTTTTAGTGGATGAAAACACAGCAAATGTATTATAACTTTTGCTGAATAGAAATCTTTGCCCTGGCTTCTGTCACTCAGAGCAGTTTCTCTCCAGCCCAGTGATGATGTTTCCAAAACAATTAGATTTCTCATGTGTGGAGGCAAAGCTGTGTAGACTCACTAGAAAGAAAGAATAGCCATTCTGTTCTGTCTAAGGCTCGGGAAAGTTCTTTTCTTGAGCCCTTATGGGAACCAGTAGAAGCCTCAGGCCTGACCATGTGCTAGCCTCCCAGGGCCAACATGCTTCCAGCCACTTTGCAGAATAAAGCCAAGCAGAAACATATGGACATATGATTCTCTCCCTGATGGTGTTTTGGGTCTTTTCCAGATCCTAAAGGACACTTCCCTGCAGAAAGTGAAACGCAACCAGAGCTGTTTGGAGCCCTGCCTGCGCCAGCTCGTCTCCTGCCTTGAGTCTTTCGTGGTGGGGAATGTGAACTTGTTGAGCCAAGCCATGCTTTAGTGTCTTGTCGTAGTTCTTGTCCCCGGGACCCTGGCTCCCGTTGTAGTGCTGCACCACTGTTTTGTGATGCGACTTAAAGATAGCTCGTGGGTTCTAGTGTGTTTATCTTTGATTTCAGAACCAAGAGGACAGTGCTTCTAGCAACCCATTTGCACTCCCAAACTCTGTCACGCCGCCCTTACCGACATTTGCACGGGTGACCACTGCTTATGGATCATACCAGGATGCCAATGTTCCCTTTCCTAGGACCTCTGGGGCCAGGTTCTGTGGAGCAGGTAGATCTCTCTGTTCTTTGACTCTTAACTCCGAAGAAGTGTAGCTAAGAAAGGCTTATATGCTTCATAATTATCAGTAAATGTTTGTTTTTAACTTTGTAAGAGCTCAAAACAACATATGGTATAATACTAAATTCATGTCTGTAGATGTAGCCTAGGAATGTTTACCAGGGGCCTGGAGAGATGGCCTAGCAGTACAGAGCACTCACTGCTCTTCCAGGGGACTCAAGTTCAGTTCCCAGCACCCATGTCCAGCAGCTCACAACCATCTGAACCTCCAGCTCCAGGGGATCCGACATCCTCTTTGGGTCTCAGCATGCATCTAGATGCACAGCATACACACACAGAAACACATACGTGTGCACATAAGTAAAATAAATAAGTCTTTGTAAAAAAAAGAATGTTCTCTATAATTGAAGGCTTAACTGCTTTAGTCCTGATGGACCTGAATTTGCATCTACTTAGATCCCTGATACTTTTACCTCTCCTAGATCTTGTAGACTCTCACCTTGTTCCTTTTAAGGATCAGTGTAGTCACAAGCCTTGGCAGTTTGTGGAGCTATGCCTTGCGTATACGGAAATAGAAGAAAAACCCTGCCTGGCTGGTGGTAATAATGCTTAGCATGTGTAAGACCCCATGTACAATCCCTAGTACCACCAAAAAACCTTTTGTTTTTTTTTTTAAAGTACAGTCATTAACCCAGGCATAGGAGCTCATGCCTTAATCCCAATACTTACTATGCCAAGGCTGGAGGCTTGCTATGAATTCTAGTACAGCTTGGGTTACCTAGTGAGACCCTGTCTCAAAAAACAAAAGATTACCCTATCCTGCCTTGGGATTCCCATGTCCAGCTCATTGACACCACGTGCTCCTGTGTCTCCTTCATCAGGTTACCTGGTGTACTTCACAAGGCCCATGACGATGCATCGCGCAGTGTCTCCAACAGAACCTACTCCTAGGTGAGTCTGGGAGATGCTGCAGGAATCCATGTCTCTGTCTCTGCAAAGTTCATGTCTGTTAATCAGTTAAATTCCTCTTACAAGATTCCTTCTTCAAAGATGGGGGTTCATTAACTTATTTTGACTGTAAGGTTAGTATCAAAGCACTGGGAAGACAGCTTGATGAAAGTGGTTGTTAAAGCAACTTTGGGCTGGGATGTCAGCCTAGAGGCAGAACATGTACAGGGGTCTGGGTCCCATCCCTACAACTAGGAGGGGAAAGAGGGAATTCTTTGTAAATGTTTTACTCCCATTGCTAAACTTTTATGTAATTTTATTATTTAATATTAAACTAAAAGAAGAAATACTATCTAATTAGTCACACAACACTAATAGGCCACTTCTGAAATCAGGATGTGCCATTTTCACAATTACGTGTTAGAAAAACTCAAATCACATTAAATTTTTAAATAAAAAATGCAAAAGCCCTTTCTCCCTTTCTCCCCGTGCTGGGAGAGGCACTGTCACAACCAAGCATGTTCCTGCCCTTGGCACTGTTTTTCTGTGCTACTTCTCTGATGGACAAGCTAGTGGGACCGATGAGGTGTGAACTTTATAGCCAAATCACCCAAATTAGCTGGTTGATTCTTTGACTGTGGACAGTGTATCTAAACTGCTTTAGTTTTTTTTCAGCAGTCACTCAGGTAGATCTTTTAGTTGCCAGGAAAGTTAAGTAAATGGTCCTGTAAGACAGTGAGTATGCAGACTGCTGCTAAGGCTTCTCTCTGGCTTTAACACTGTACAGTAGACTTCTAGTTCTTTGGTATGGTGACCAAGATAACTTGGAAATCTTTCTGCTAGAACAGTATCATATGCAGTATGCTGAATGGATGGAATACCTGGCTGGCAAGATGGTAAAAGCACTTGCCACTAAGTCTGATGACCTGAGTTTGATCCTGGAGACACACATGGTGGAAGGAGAATAAAGGCTTACTCATTCCCTCAGATTGTCTTCTGACCTCCACATACACATGGTGGCTTGCATCCCTCCTCCCAGAAAACACAATAAAAATGTTTAAAAGAAAGGATTGAATGCCACCTGTGAGTAGATGCTATTGTTTGAGTGGGTGTTTCCAGTTTCTGCACTGGTCCTAGCAGATGAACCCTTGATGCTTAAGAACTAGGCTTAAATAACCAGGTTCCAACACCTACTCTCCAATGGATCACATGTCCTCGTGGGGACATTTTTCAGCTAGCAGTCTTTCACTGAGGTATAACTGGCAGTAGAAAAGTCTGAAGTTTACTGCACAGTGACCCGCTCGAAATACAAGACATTGTCCTGACCTGTAAAAGCTCCTGGTTCCTTTGCCAAGCTCCACAGGAAACCACTGTCTCAACATCTGTCATCCTCTTTTAGTTTTGCCTGTTTTTAAACTTCATTGAATTAGAATCATGCAGCATGAACTGTTCTTATGTCTGGCTTACTTTGTTCAACTTAATGTTATTGAACTTGATTTGAATGGCTGCATGGATCAGTAATTGCACCGTATGAACATGACGTAGGGTGATTTGTTCTGTTGATGGATGTTTGGATCATTTCCTCTTTGGGGCTATTAAAAGCAAACTAGAGATGCATACCTTTTTTTTCATTTTTCTTTCATGGATATACTAATTTCTTGACTTAAGGAGTGGAACTGCTGAGTCATAGGATAGATGTCTCTTTAACTTGGAGAAAGTGTGCTCAGTGGTGAGGGCATTTTGTCCTCTTCTCACTGAAGGCTCAGAGGATTGATTGCTCCACGTCTCTCTCTCTGTATTGCCAATCTGTTCAACTTCTGTCATTGTGGTGGGTGGGAAATATTATCTTGTTGTTTTCATTTGCATTCCCGTGATGATGACTAATGATATGAGCAGCTTTTGTGTGCTTATTGACCATTTAGGCGTCTCCTTTTGTGATGTGCCTGTTCAAGTATCATGCACTGTTACTTATATGTGCTAGCTATCTAGTGTGATTGCAGATCTTTTGCTGGATGTATGCATTGATTCTCTTCTAATCTATGGCTGCTTTTTCTCCCTCTTTAATAATATTCATTGAACATGGTTTTCAGTTTTGATGCTGTCTAATTCATCACTTTTTAATTTTATGCTTAGTAATTTTTGTATTAGAGAGAGAGAGACAGAGAGACAGAGAGAGACAGAAGCCCTCAGTCTGCATCAAGGTCATAGAAATACCCTTCTGCATCTTTTTCTGTGAGTCTGTGGCTTTAAATTCCTTATCTAAGGTCCATGGCCTCAGTCTCTTTGGTGTTTATGATGTCGGGTAAGGGAGAACATTTGTTTTATTTAATAGAAATAAATGGTTGTTCTAGCACCATTTATGCAGCCTGCCTTCTTTCACAGATGACAATTGGTTGTCTGTTTCTACACCCCAGTTATTCTTTTGATCTCTTTGTCTCTCTCCATGTCTTATTACTCAGAATGTAGCCTTCTATGGTGTCATAAATTTGGTAGAGTAAGTTCTCAAAGGTATTGTTTAGTTTTTTGTTGGCTAATCTAGGCCTTTGCACTTCCACAAAATTATATCAGCTTGTTAGTTTCTACAATGCCTGTTCATGTTTTGATTACACAGATTCTTCGTATCAGTTAAGAGAAATCTGATGTTTTAACAGTGTGGAGTTTTTTTATTCCCTGGTATGGTAGTCTCTCCATTGTTATCATCTTCTTTAATGACTCTTAGGAATGGTTTGTATTTTCGGTGTATATATTTTCATATTCAACTTTTTTTTTTTTTTTTTTTTTTTGGTTTTTCGAGATAGGGTTTCTCTGTGTAGCTTTGGAGCCTATCCTGGCACTCGCTCTGGAGACCAGGCTGGCCTCGAATTCACAGAGATCCACCTGCCTCTGCCTCCCGAGTGCTGGGCTTAAAGGTGTGCACCACCAACACCCGGCTCAAATGATTATTTCTAGTATCTGAAAACAGTAGATTTTTACAGGTTGGCATTGTATCTAGATGCCACTAATTAGGTCTGATAGTAGAGTTCTCTGAATTTTCTGTGTGTAGTCATGGAGGAATCTGCTTCTGTAGTCTGCAGTTTTCATCTCTAAATGCTTATTGTTTTTGTTTCTTTGTTTGGGGTTCACCCTTTTCTTCCCATTCCATGTCCTTGGTTACTCAGGGTATGGAAGCTACATCCAATATGTATAATTCTCATTTCAACCACAGATCTCTCTCAGCCCTATCTGCTTATCACACTGGCTTGATTGCACCCATGAAAATCCGCACCGAGGCCCCCGGCAATCTGCGTTTGTACAGTGGGAGTCCAACTCGAAGCGAGAAAGAGCAGGTCTCCATCAGCTCCTTCTACTACAAGGAACGGGTAAGTGTCCGTGCCATTGTCTTAGCCTCTAACCCCTTCTGGATTCTTGTTTCCTGTCCCCCGTGTGCCATGCACAGTAGCTAAATTAGTAATTCCTTTGTAGTCTTTCACTTTCATAATTAGTTTATATGTGAAAGGTCTGTTGCCTTCAGTTGGTTTGAACTACTGTAAACCATGGGGTAGAAGTAGAAGTGGTAACTATAAAGTAAAGTGTGTACTTTACTCCTCATAAAAAAGTCTGTCCTGGAAATCCCCATTAGTTGAATTGATTACCACATTTCGGGCAGAATAATTTAACTTCAGTTCTTCCTTGATATTCTGATATCCTAGTGTCTGTCAACACACTAAGAGTTGCTTCTGGGAGCTGGGGGTCTTGGTGGATTTGGAACTACTTGATTGCTAGGTTTTTTCAGAGTGTATCAGCTGGTACAAAAATTACCTGAACTTGCCCTTAATTTTTTTTTTTTTTTAAAGACTTTGTAACCTTGGCTGGCTTGGAACTCATAGAGATCCACCTGCCTCTGCCTCCTGAGTGCTGAAATTAAAGGTGTGTAACACCACTCCCGGCTTTTCTGGGGTCCTTAAAGAATGCAGTGTCCCTAAAGTACTTATCTTTAGCTGGCAGGAACCTGGTGAGCCTGGCGAATGCCTAGAAGCCTTTGTGTGTTGTCAGACGGTGAGCCTGGCATCAACACTGATAGGTCCAAACTGTCTATGCTCCTTCCGACCTACTTACTGCACAAACTGTCCTTCAGAATTCTTCATTGTTTCCCCATAAAATAGGAAATAACAACTGTCAGTAATTAAAATCTGGCTTGAAATGGAATCATTAAAATAAAAACAAGGTTTTTCTATCAAGTATTATAAGTATCTTCACATGTGTTGCAGTGCAGTCTGCTGCCTCATGCTCCCACTGATGGCTGACCAGCCCTGACTAGTCTAGTCTCAGGGATCATGTGGCTGAAATCGGGCAGCTGCTGGTATTTGAACTAGTCCAATCTTGGGCAAAGCCATCTATTCAGACAGGAATATGGTTCTACCTGCCTCCCTGCCTGCCTTCCCCTCTCCACACTCCCTCTCCCCATCTCCCTGGTGGGATTCTGTCCCTCTGGCTGTCCCAGACCTTTCGCAAGCACCCACCAAATGCTATCTCCCCCAAGTCATTTACATTTAAAAAAATTAGCTTCATACCCCCCTTTTCTGCAAAGCAGCTGGTAACTGGGTAGAAAATTTGATAGTTGTAGCATTCAGTTGGCATAAAAGCTACTTACAGCCAGGTAAAATGAGGCTTTTATTTAGTATCAGGGACAGTTTGAAGAGATTCCCTGACTCAGAGGCAATTCATGTCATGTGCTACCACCCTTGCTTGCAATTTGATTGGCTAGAATAGACTGGCTTACATATTTGACTGGTGCTCACATAAAGCCCACCTATAGTCAGAGTACTCATGGCTCTAAGACAGTAGCATCAGTCTTGCCTACATTTATGGTTGCAGTGGTCTGGCCCCTTTTACCACCAACACTGTGTTCTTGAAGAAGCACCAAGAAAGCATGTGGCTGATGTCCTCTTAGCTAGGGAGGATTGTGAGATCTCAGTATGGGCGATTCCTAGACTGCTCGTCACAGCAAATGGGCTCTTCTAGTAGTCTGACCTGACAGAGGAAGGAAGGAGCCTTGAAGGTTTATTTTTACATAACAACCAAATAAAATGGGGAGCACTTTAAACAAAACAAAACAAAACAAAACAAAACCCAAAAAACATAGTGTCATATGAAACCCTTGCACTGGTCTATACCATATGCACAGTAAAGCTAGTCGGTCATAAATGTGTAGTTTAGAGAATTAGCAAGCATCCCAGTCAAGAAGCAGAAGACTATAAGATCTTCAGGATCCTGGGGGAGGGAGAATGGCATATAATAATTTTGAAGGTAAATTGTGGGCCCTTGATTCTATTTGACCACCTCTGACCTAAAGTTTCGTGTGTTTCAGTTTATTTAAGATGCCCAAGACAAATGTTAGTTGTCTCATGATAAATTTGAAATAACCTTCTCTCTTCCTGCCACTTGTTCATGCCTTTTCCTGTTTAAATAGAGCAGGGCATCTAAAGCAATGGAAGCCCCCATGCTGGCTTCCGTAGGTGGCCTCGTCTTCCTCACAGAGGTCAGTAATTCTTGAGGACTGGTTTCTCCTTGGGAGAAATGATTTTATTTTATTACCATTGGAAGTTCCATGTCCACGTTTTCTCCTGTGTACTTCTGTATCCTTTGAGAGCTGTAAATGAGGAAGGTGGAAGGACTGAGGTGTACCTGCATTAAGGACTAGCAGGAAGGAATTGCACTGAGATCGTAAAGTCTCGTGCAGCCACCTAAAGATGGTGGTTCATTTCTCTTGTGTTGTAGCATTCATCCAGTGTCCTCTAGATGAAATTACAAGGTTAGTTACTAAAAATTTCAAAGTGTGAGTGACCTAAAGACCTGTCAAGTCTCATATGAGTCAGAAAGCACAGATGCTCACAAGGAGAGACTTGGCAAATAGGCCAGTGATTACCAGCCAAAGAAATAGTGTTTATTCTAGAACTTCTAATAAATATTGAGCATTGACCTACAGATATTTTTTCAGATTTTGCAGCCTCTCATCTTTGCTTCAGTTTATATTATTAAAGTGGCTCTGATATAAATACTGGAGAGGCCTTTCAGTTATGAGTCTGATCTCCATGGTCAGTGTGGTATACTGCTCACCCCATACCAGGTCCCTTGGCTAGCTGGAGTGCCTACAGAGCGTGCCTCCTCAGCTTAGCCTCCCCTCCCCCCTTCTCCGGGCATTGTTCTGAAGATAGTTTCTCAGCCACAGTGCTGAGACACTCAGTTGCTTATTGCTGCACAGCCACACTGGGAACTAAGCCTATTGAAGAAGCGATTTAGGAACAAGAGTGTGCTCTGGTGTGTTCTTCACACGTGTGAGGCAAAAGGGAAACTCTCTTTCCTGTTTCTCCACTTGCAGCAGGACCTTAGTGCTGTCAGAGTCCCTCATACCTTCACCTGGGTTCCTTTGTCAGAACTGTGTTATGCCTCCTCATATCCTAGACAGTGACTAAAGAGCAATGTAACTGAAGCTGGGCTTGAGGCAGGTGGGCTTGGGGAGGAGAGGGGTACAGACACTGCCATGCTTAGGCTCAGCCTTTTCAGTCACCCCAGTTCCCATTTATATACCTATAAATCCATCAGATGTGGGGGAAACTTTCATTTTATTCTATATTTTTCCCTTTTAATTTTCTTGGTGTTTTTCTTCCCTCTTCCTGGGTGTAACGTTTTCACGCACAGATGTCTCCTCGCTCTGCCCGGCGACGTTGGTCCATACAAGCAATTAACGACTTCCCGGTACTGTGCGCTGTGCAAATGCTCTCCTTGACTAATCCTGTCTCTACCAAAGGCCCAAGAATAAAATGCCACCTGCCTGGCTTTGAGGAACCTGAATGACAGACAGGCTGGCTGGTGTTCAGGACCAGCTAAAATAAAATTTTCACCCTGGGGAGGCAGGCACCAAGGACTGCCCTCCTTGCCAGTCATGGTATTTCAAATGGGTAAACACTTAAGGATCATAAATGGGCTTCTTTGCAAATGAAACTCACTACCGGGTCCTTGGACCCTGATCAAATGACTTCAGCTCACCTGATATCACTTGGGGCACTTCTGCAAATTGCATGGAGCTTTCAAAAGCCTACCTTTGGCATGGGGGGAGCAGAGGAAGATAGAAGAGACTTCTGCCATGTAGCCTCTGTTTTATAGTCTCGGTCCAATTCAGAGAGGGAAGTACCTACTTGCTTCATTGGCATGCTACCTGAGCTGGTTTTATTCTTTGGGAATTTCCTGAAACAAATTTTTCTTCTTACCATCAGTATTTTGCATTCGTAATAAAATTTGCTGTGAACATCCTCTGTTCCTCCTTCCTTTCCTTGCTCATTCCTATTGGCCATCTTTCCTCTTCTGTCTTCCTCTCCCACCCCTTCATGTTTCAGTAGTGCCAAGGTGTCCTCAAGGCAGCCTTGAGGCCTGTATCAATTTTGTTTGCCACAAAGAATGTTTAGACCAAAACCCCTTTCCTACGAAAACCGATTGAAAGCAGGAGCCTGGAGTAGAAAGAACCACTGCTCAGCAGCTTGCAGGTAGAGCCGCCAGCATGGCCTCTTTGCTCGGAAAGCTGATTCCATCCGCTCCCTTGCTGAGTTTCACTGGTTTCCACCGCTCTTTAAATAGGAGCTCATTTGACTCCCTGCCCACTCTGCTGATTATGCATTGTTGATGGGGTTGCTGCGAAGCAGTTGGTGGCTTATTCTTGGGCTGTTTTTACATTTAACCCATTTACTGGCATCGATGTTGCCTCCGATTGTAGCAGTGACACTAGTGGTGCGGTCACGAGCTGGCTGGTGGTGGTCATGTAGCACCTCCCTCCCTCCCTCCAGCCCCTTCTGCCCTGTCCTTTGCTGTCCTCCACGACCACTTCCCGGGATGTTTACAGGGGCATCCCAGAGCTCATCACGCGATAACCTGTCTGCCTTGCTTTGTCTCTCTTCCCTCAGTCTCTTCTCATAACATCTGTGAGAAAGGGCATATTCTGTTGATGGAGCACTGAAAAGACCTGAGAGAAAGGCAGAGTCCTTGCCCCCAGAGGTACCCATTTTGCTGTACAGAAAGGAATCCACCTTGAGACCTGTCAGAATGGGACTGGAGCAGTGCAGGAGGGCTAGGGGCAAAGTTTTAGACTATGGTGCCCTTCCCTGACATTGGCAGATTAACCGCACTTCAACCTTGTGTGTCTGTGTTCTCTACAAGCAGAGAATCCCAAGAGAAACTCAGTGATGTTGCTTGACAGCAGTACAGACAACAGAGAGCCCTAAAGTACCTGAAGGTATTAGGGAGAATGCTAGGTCTAGGGAAAGTGGATGGGGAAGGAACGTTTCTTCTTACCCAAAGTTGTAGGAAATTTCCTGAACAACTTGTTCACCTTTTCATTAGGGAGGAGCCAGGACCTAAGGCCCTAGCTAACATCTGTTTCAAGATTTATCATATCTTCATGTAGGCAGCTTTGCTGTGTTTGAATTTCTAGAATAACTGGCCATCCGGTAGCTCACTAAATGATCCCTGTAACCTGAAGGGGAAACATTTAGAATTGCCACTCTACAAGATTTCAAAAAACAAAACAAAACAAAGAACAGCCACTGTTTTACTGCAGCAGGATTTTTGGCAGTGTTTTGCAGTTATTCCGTGCTAGATTAAAACAAAACAAAACAAAACAACAAAGCCAACAAAGAAGAACCCCACAGAAACAAAAACATTAGTGCTATTTCATAACTACACTTATAGTTTTATTCTAGTGGCAGCTAAAATTAGGGTGACCTTCTGTTGGGGAACCTCCTTTTAGAGCAGGCTGAGGCAGCTGTGTGAGAGAGATTCCACTGTCATCTTGTAGACACCCAATACATATCAGATGAAAGCTCCTCAAGGCTTGTCGTTTTGAAGTCCCAGGAAACACGGACCAGTCTCCACAGTTCAGTGAGGGGTAATTGCAGAGGGTTTTGATGAAAACCACTGCCTTTCTGTTTTCACTAAGGGTTTGGCAGTTCACATTTGTTTGTTTCTACTGGTCTGCAAAAAGTAGAGTCTTAAGACATCTCTGTGAACTCTCTTAATTTTCTATTATATGCCGACTCTTAACAAACCCAGAAAAGATCACACGCATGCACGCACACACACATGCACATATGTGCAAGAGGCACATTCTCAAGGCCAGTCTGAAATCCTTAAGGCAAAGCATCCTTGTCCAAATCTAGCTTGTCCCAGGGAAAACTCTGTCACTAATCTCTTAAACCAGAGAATCTTGAGAAATCCTGGTGCTCTTACTTAACAGCTGTACAAACAACAGTGACTCTGGAATACCTGCAAGATGTTAAGGAGAAAACAAGGCCTTCAGAAAACGACCCTGATTTAGCAGAATGAAGTTATGATGTTGAGAGAAAAGTAGTGGAAAAAGTAATTACAGAAGGATGTTTTAGGGTTAGCATCACTAGAACCAAATGTCAATCTATTTTCAGAAACTGGTCTGCTTAAAGACAGACCAAACTGTTTACATTTCTACCAGCAGCTTAATTAGGGCTTAGTTTTTTCCTTTGTTGATTCCTAAAATCACATTCAGTACTGAAAGGCAAGAGAGCACTGGTGGGCTTAGCTGGGGCTGCATGTGTGGCTTAGTCGGTAAAGCACCTGCCATACAAGCATGAGGACCTGTGTTCAGATCCCTGGCACCAATATAAAAGCCAGGCACAGTGACCAGGCCTGTGTCTGTAGCTCTAGCACTGGGAATAGGCAGAGACAGGATATTGGCCAGCCAGTCTAGCCCACTCTGTGAGCCCCAGGTTCAGTGAGAGAGTCTACCTCAAAGATACGAGCTAGCTAATCTAGCTAGCTAGCTAGCTAGCGTATAATGGAGGAAGGTACCAGATATCGACCTCTGGCTTCCACACACATGAATACCCCCCGCCCACCACCACACACACACACACACACACAAACATAACAGCTTGACAGGCCTATTGAGATTTCGGCTCCATATCCATGACCTTGTAAAAGGTTCACATTTCCATTTACAAAATGGAGCTGCAGCGAGGCACCTGCTGGCTCAGCATGAATAGTCCAGAAGCAAGAACGAACACACTTAACAACAATAGAAAAGTCTTTTAATCCTTAGTCAAATATCAGGACACTTGTACTTGTTTCATTATCTGTTGCCAAATGAGCTCGTCTTGCAAATGAGCTACTCCTGGCACATGAACTGTCATATAATTAGTAATGTGCTTTTGTTAGGTTTTCTTTCAAAGTCAGGCAAGAGTGGTTATTTTCAGTGTACTTTAAAAGCTCATAGGCTCCATCTACCCTTCACAAGGCCTCCATTTGTTTCAGTTGTATAATTTAAATAAGCTTTGGTGAGTTGCTAAGTTGTTCAAGCACTTACCATTTTTTCTTTGTACTAAGGAACCACAGTGGCTTCGTGTTCACAGTGTTTTAGAAGCCTTCTGCCCAACCCAGAAGATACACTAAATGGATCATATTCCCTTCCAGATGGAATCTTTTTGGCATAGAAATTAAAAGTGAAACTTTTTACATTTATGTGTGCTTGTGCACTCGTGCACATTTGTAAACATGTCACACATTCAAAGTCAGAGGACAGCCCATAGGAGTCAGTTCTCTTCTTCCACTGCATGGGTTCTGGGGATCAAATTCAGGTTGTCAGGCTTGGCAGTATTTTCCACCACTGAACTACCTCACATACTGACATCTTTTTATTTAACTCCAGCACCATAGATCTCATTTGAAATGGTCAGTCGTCAGGGATCTGTGTTCATATGGTGTCTGGGTAACCCAGCATTTTGTGCTGGTCTTCAGGGTAGCCATACACTAAGTTACCCTCTCTGTAACTGGTCATGCATTGAGTGCTCATGTGATGACTTCTGCCTCATCTCAGCTAGCACTGCCTGGCTCCAAGCCCACTCTGACATGTCCTTCCCTTATGTGAACCCAGCTGGCTAAAAGGATAGTAGCACTGGAGTATGGACATAGTTATTCTTCAGGCAATCAGGGCATGTAGAAGCCTGGAGGCTTACCCCATAGTAATAGATCAAAGTTCCCTCTACACTGAAGGGCCAAGAGGTGTGGATAAGTAACAAATAGTAACAGAACTGCTTCTAAAGGTCAAATGGGTCGTGGCTCCAAACTGATAGAGATGAATTCTGATAAACAATTCATAGATGATCCATCTAACTGGCTTCACTTACCTGCCTGGAATCCAGGTGGATTGATTTAGTAGGTCCCAAGACATATTGATTGGATGAGAAGTTAATGTAGTGGACACCTGGGGCATTGGTTGGGACATCAGTGATCAGAAATGTCAGGATTTAGACCTAGACTGGTTCATGAGGAATGATTGCACAAAAATCACTAGTGGAAAAGTAAATATATGGGTAATATGAATAGTGATGATTCCTGACCATTTATTTAAGTTTATAATATATCACTGCAATTTTTAGGTTGCAACTTTAAATTTATGCAGTTTGCATCTGTCTTGTCATTGTACCCTTACTGACCTCATGAGATTGGATAACAGAACTCAGCATTAGCCACAGATTACCAATAAGCAAGGGGACTTTAAGTCCACAGCAAATGATTAACTAGTATTAAACTGCCTAGGGCCATACTGAGCCAGAACACTCAGTACCTCAGTTTTCTGATGTCAGATTGCAAAGCCCCTTCAGTCACTCCTTGTGCCTCCTTTGTTAATAAATGTGTTGCTCCCTTGCTTATTTGAAAGACTTTGGTGACCTCTTTTTTTAACACTTGGAAATAAATAGGATATTTGCTCCTGTGACTGGTTGTCATTTTGAGGATACCAGTCGGGGCTACACTCTGTTACTTTTTGTTTCCCAGGACATGTCTCATTCCACATGAACAGATTCCTCATAGCCACTTACTGGGACATCTCTGGGAGCTAAAACATGTGCTCATGGGACAACTCTGGGAGCTAAAACATGTGCTCATGGTCTTCCGTGTCTATTACTCAGTTTCCCCAACTAAGTATTTTTGACCTTTAGAAATGATCACTTTTAGAAATAATTCAGGCCTGCTACAAAACAAGGCAATTCTTGTGCTGCCAAGTTTCTCTGTCTTCATATGTTAAGGTTTGCAGAGCCCACACTGTCGTGTCTGATTTAAAATATCAACAAACCCTGTTGAAACTGTCTAAGAAGAAAAAACTTTGAATTGTCTCAGGCAAGAATTTAGGATCTAGTACTGAACACCCCAATCCCCCTCATTTTGTGGGGGGGTATCTTTACTAACTTCTTTACTTGCTATTTTTTAAATTAATTAATTCTGGCTTCCTGGTGTCTATTTTTTTTTTTTTTTTTGAGCACCTACAGAATGTAAATAGCCCTACAGTAGGTGCTTGTTTTCCTGTTAGGATCTTGGATCAAGAGCTTTGTGCCATTTGTTACCCTTTTACTTCCTACAGATGCTGATTCATGTAATTGTGGGCATGATGTAATTTAAAGTCTCTGCAAATTACCAATGACCCAAATATGATGTGCTCTGCAACTGTAGGCTTCCACTCTCCAGGGTCCCTATTCGTCACATCTTGTCATCTCCCCTAGAAATCAAGGAGGTGGAAAAGTAAGCGGGAAGGATCGGACTCTGGCAATCGACCCATTAAGGCTGCTGGGAAGGTCATCATTCAGGATATTTCCTGCCTCCTTCCTGTTCATAAGTCACTGGGAGAGCTGTACATGTAAGTCTGAGATTACAGGTGCACTGAGCTTGTCCTTAGCATCTGCACATCTTTTTAAAGTTTTGGACACTTTGGGGACACAGCGTTAGCTTTTTGCTGGTGGCTAACAAATGGACACAAGCTGCAGCTTCAGACAGTACACACCTCACACCTCACTATTTCTGTAGGTCAGGAACCTAGCTAGCTTCAGTGAGCCTTCCTTGCCCAGGATCTCAACTAACTGAGAGCATGTGACCTTGGCCTGCCTTGGTCTCTCCCAGTACTTAGGGTCCAGCAAGCCGGATTAGGTAGCTGAATTCAGACCTTGACAGCTGTAGAGCACTTGGCATATTCATATTTGAGACCAGTGTAGTGGCCCATACAAACATCTCTTTTTGAAGGTCCTGTCTGACTTAAGCCACACAAAATATTCTGCCTTTTGGCAGACTCCAGGTTAAGTGCTTAATATCACAATTGTGAAAGTGAGTTCCCAGGAATTCTGCCTCCCACACCGTCTTAGTTAAGTTATTGCCACAAAGAGACATAATAACCATGGCAACTCTTTTTGTTGTTGTTTTTTTTGTTGTTGTTGTTGCTTTTTTTTTTTTTTTTTTTTTTTTTTTTTTGAGACAGGATTTCTCTGTAGCTTTGGAGCCTGTCCTGGAACTTGGTCTGTAGGCCAGGCTGGCCTCGAATTCACAGAGATCCTCCTGTCTCTGCCTCCCAAGTGTTGGGATTAAAAGCATGTGCCACCACTGGACTATGGCAACTCTTATAAAGGAAAACATTTAATCCAGGCTGGTTTACAGTTTCAGAGATTTAGTCCATTATCATGGGAAGTATGGCACCACACAGGCAGACATGGTGCTGGAGAAGGAGCTGAGAGTTCTACATCTTGATCTGCAGGCTGCAGGAAGTGAACTGGCTTGAACTTCTGAGACCTCAAAGCCCACCCCCTAGTGACACACTTCCTCCAACAAGGCCACACCTCCTAATAGTGCCATTCCCTATGGACCAAGTATTGAAACACATGAGTCTATGAGGGCCATTCCTATTCAAACCACCACACACACCCAATATGTAAAGCAGCTCAAAACAGTTACTTTGAAGGGCCTTAGGAACCCAGTGATCAGCATGTGGAGGCTGTCCTACAGGTCCCCTAAGTCCTCCTGAATTTGAACACATAACAGTGTTTTCTTTTGTTGTATACTCACAGCTGATACTTTTTATGTGGACATCATAGTTAGTTTTCATATATTTAAATCCCAAACCTTGGGAACTCAACAGAAAAGCTGGTGGCAAATTAGTGTTTTTCTTGCTGCCTCCTCCTCATCTGAAAGTGATGAGCGTCCCCCCACCCCCTCTTAGGTAGGAACACAGTCCAATAGCACCAGCTCTAATTAATCCTTCTCTCCCAGTCAGATTTTCATGACAACCAAGGAGGCACTTTCTAGTCTAATAAATCAGGAAGAATTCTTGGGAAATTAAGGTAGAAACCTCCTTAATCTTTTTTGCTTTAATTTCAGACTGAATGTGAACGACACTCAGGAGACGTGTCAGAAGAACGCGGCCTCTGCCATGCTTGTTGGAAGGAAGGATCTCGTCCAGGTACTGTAAATCCCTGATGGTGATGTTCTGGCCTTGATACTTAGAAGTTAGTGACATTTATAGGGAGCACCTCTATTTTGAAGTTTCTGAGCAGTTTCTTAAAGCTTTACTCTGGATATTTTTCTTATTACTGCTAGCTAAGTGGTTTGATTTTTTTTTTCTTTAACTATGCATGTTTTTATTTCAGTACCATGGTGATTGTTGTATTCCTAAATTTGAGTATCTGTGCCTTTGTCATTTTACCTCAATTATTTAAAAAAAAAGTCTCACAAGAAGGTTTTCCAGAGTGTTCTTCTAGGTAGAGATTTTCAATTTTTAAGATATGACTTTGTGGGGCTGGAGAGATAGCTTAGTGGTTAAGAGCGCTGGCTGCTTTTATAGAGGGCCCAGGTTCAATTCCCTGCACCCACTCGGGGCCTCACAACCTATTGTAACTCCAGTCCCAGGGAATCTGACTCCCTCTTTTGACCTCTTCTGGCACTAGGCATGCACATGTTATGCATCCATACATATATGCAGGCAAAACGATCACACACATAAAATATTAATAAAAATTTTAAAAATAAAATATGTCAATACTTATATAATGTAAGATTCCATCATCTTTGTAGCTCCCCTGTATTATTCTCTGAACCCATTTACTGAGATACAATCTGCATGTCTTCAGCCTGCTCATTTAAAATGAACTAGTTGGTAATTTCTAGTGGTGACAGAGTGTGCAGTTGTCATTGGAACCATTCAGTACATTTCCATCACATAGAAGAAACTCCTTGTCCTTCAGTCCTTTCTTCCCATCAGCCCTGGGCAACCACCAGTCAAGTTACATCTTTATTTCATTCTGTTCTTTGGTGTGATGGTTAAACCAAGCTTGGGAAATTGCTAGCAGTTGTCCCAACAGCTCGGTGTTTTTCCTGATGACTAAATGAATCAATACTAAGGCCTTCCCTTGATTTTCATGTGATTAAAAACATCTCTAAGATTTCCATTCATCTTGTAATAAACATTATAATGTCTCTCCCTGAAGCCCTTTAAAGGAAAACCCTCTCATGGATTAAATCTTTTTTCATCAGCCCCCACCCACCCAAACTCTATGAACACTAAGAAGGCAAAATGAGGTTATAAGAACAGTGTGGAATTAATTTATAGTGGGAGGCTGAGTCTGCTTGGAGCTCTAGAGAACTACCTGGGCAGGTTATCTCAGACCCTTAGCCTTTGAGAACTGGAAGCATTTCCTCATGGGGTTGGTGAGATCAGTGAATGTAAAGGCCTGCCTGAGCAAAGTTTCCTTCCTAAAGTGTTCTTTGTGTGTTCTTTCTCCCTCTTCTTTATCCTCTTTTCCTCATCTCCTCTCTCTCCTCCCCTACTCCTTTTTCTTTTCTCCTTCCCCAGCTCCTCCCCCTCCCTCCCCCCAGTGCTTTTCTGGCAGACCTGTGTGGAAGCTAGGTCAGTCTAAGTGAAATGGGGGGGACTCTTGTCTTCAGACAGACTCTGCTTGACTCTGGGCCCTGACACTTTTTTGTGTGTGATCCCAGACAAGCCACCCTGTTGTCTTCCTAAACCTCAGGCTCCTTGCTATAAAATGGATCAATACTTGTAAATTCATTAGGAACTAAATAGAGTAAAACTTGTGAATTCTCCTAGCTGTCCAGTCGTTGGAAATGCCTACTCTGGTACATTTCCACTGCTCTTGTGTGATTGTCATTGTAATTTGATAATGTGTAAAGACATGAGTCACATGAGTGACAGCGAATGCTTAAAGAATGTTACTGTTTTTCCTCATGCCATTGATAACGGTATGCTTACTCTTCTGTGTCTCTCACATTTACGAGAGAAGAAAATGTCAGGGGCACCCTTCTGTTAAAGGCTTTACGAGATGTATGCTTAGGGAGAAATTAACACAGTTGTCAGCAAGGGAGGAAGCCCATCCTGCCCCAGAAAGTCACTAACTTCTCTGAGCATCTGTTGACCTGGGTTGTTTATAATGGCAGTGTGTGTAAACTGCATGTCCCTCCTTGGAAACATACTTGTATGTTACTTTCAGTGTGTTGCCTTCATGCTACTGATTTTGCTTTTCATCATTTTTTAAAGACTTATTTATTTATTTATTTATTATGTATACAATGTTCTGTCTGCATGTATCCTTGCAGGCCAGAAGAGGGCACCAGATCTCATTACAGATGGTTGTGAGCCACCATGTGGTTGCTGGGAATTGAACTCAGGACCTCTGGAAGAGCAGACAGTGCTCTTAACCTCTGAGCCATCTCTCCAGCCCCGCTTTTCATCATTTTTATCTACTTGCTCATCTCAAATTATAGGCTTGATCCAAAGTTTGTGTATTCTTCCTTTTGGGTTTAGAATAGTGTGTTCCAGTTAGTGGGTACAATGATTGTATCAGTTTTTCAAAACCAAATAAAACAGAAGAGAATTTTCCAAAAGTAACACTCAATTTTTGAAAGTCTCAAGGGTTGGGACTCTTTCTGATGGGCAGTGAAGGCTTTGGGCTTAGCAGACACTCTGTGGACATTTGTTTGGTGATTCTAAGCACCATGAGGGTTAAAGTTTGTGGTGTCATCAGACTTTGTGTCAATATAAAGAAAGCCAAAGTTGTTCTGTTCTTGGCCTGTTCTTTAGCTTTAAGAGTGTACTAAGACTTTTGTAATGGAGGCAACAAAGTTTTTGATTCCTTGAGCAAAGAACAAGTCTTCAGTGGGATGTAGACTGCTCTTGTTTGCTCTCTGCCAATCCAGTTCTCCAAAGATGCATCAAAAAGTCCAGGAGTAATGAAGAAAATGGCCCCTTGAAATTGTAATACTGTGTTATTTCTGTGAACTTTGCTTAATGAAAGGTTTTTCTTACTTATTTTGGTAATAGATTTTTGCAGTGTTGTCTAGGCTATTGCAGAACTCACTGTATAGCTTCTCCCCACCCTACCCCACCTCACCCTGCCTTGCCTGGCTTCTCCAGATCTCATTAGTCTCAGGCTCCCAGGTGCTGGGATTGCAAGCCTGAGTCACATGTTTGACTTCAGTGAGTTCTAAGGCTAATGTTTCTCAACTGTATAGTATACTCAATCACTGAAGAACCATTAAAATATCATTTGGACCCAGTCAGTCTGGGTGGGGCCTAGAATCGTGCACCCCAGGCTTTTGCCACCCTTGTGGTAAGGTTTTAGGTTGTAGGAGCTAGGTGGGGCTCCTTTACAGTTTCTGTTCATCTCTTCAATGGTTTGAATTTGAGCCTCTTTCTTTGGTCTGTCCAGGTTTGGTCGCTGGCCACGGTAGCTACAGATCTTTGCCTTGGTCCGAAATCTGACCCAGATTTGGAAACACCTTGGGCTCGACATCCATTTGGGCGACAGCTGCTGGAGTCCCTGTAGGTTCTGAGAGCTAAAAGTGAGGAAAATGAGTGAAGTGATTTTAGGTCTCTAAACACATTGAATGTTGCTGCCTCATTGAGGAGCACAGAGGCCAGAGGGCTGATGGGAACGAGGTTCTTTACTTTTAGCATGGAAACAGGCTCTGTGCAGAATGAACTCTGACAACATGAGGCATTAAATGTTTGCCACTCATGAGACTTTGAAACCCTTAAGAGTCCATCTGTGTCAGAGTACTTTAGTCCTTCCCTCACACCTCTGGGCACAGGCCTTTGGGCTCTGGCTATGGTAAGTTTCTCCATAGTACTGTGCAGTTTGGCCTCTGGGAACAGGGATAGAACTGTGTGTTGGTGTCCACATTCTCCCAACACTAGGACCCTGTTAGACAGCTAGCTCATAAAAGTTCCAGATTTCTGTCCAACATACCACTCCGAAATTAGCAAGTCAGACTATATAAAATAATGTTCCATTAAGTAAGCCACTCAATATTCCTCACAGTGAGGCTCCAGGCATGGACAGAGAAAACCCACTGCTTCAAATTGAGGTTTGCTTTTCTGCTGGTTGAGGCCAGACATGGGGACCCTGATCATGCTCTCACTGCCTCATCCTTAAGGCATGGCTTATAAAGCTTGCGCTATTTAGTTTATATAAACCTCAAGACAGAGTCCTTCTTAATCCCTAAACTCATAGCATGGTGATCCTGAAAGATAAGGGGAGAGAGAACCTAAGGAAAATGTATTCCTTGTCATCTTATTTAATCCAGGAAACAGAGTTAATGGCCTGCCATTCTGTGGTGATAAAATATTCTTTGACTACCTCCTTGCAGTATTAGGTCAAATGAAAGACATGTATAGAAACTGACCACAAAGCAGGGCATTCTTCCTGGAGCTGGGGAGACTGAGAGAGTGTGGACCACCTCTCTCAGATGCTAGCTCAGTCAGTCTGCTGGGTTCTAGAGAAGTTGTGTTGTGTTAGAGCCCATGCCTGAATGCCAACCAGAACCTTTCAGGTTGTTGTCTAGGTTGTCACTAACATTCTGAAAATTTTTATGCCAAAGCAAATGGGGCCAATCTCATAGAGGGTGGGACTTTGGATCTGTAGAAGTCTCTGTTCCTGACAAGGTCAGAGGAAGGATGGAAAATGCCCTAGCCTAGCCCACAGTAGTGGTGTTATGGCTGGTAACTGTTCTTCCTCCATTCCTCCTCTTGGCTTCTTTTTTCTCCTCTTGTATTTTACAGATTGGCTCACTATTGCCAACTCCGTGATGTTCAGACCTTGGCTATGCTCTGCAGTGTGTTTGAAGCCCAGTCCCGGCCTCAGGGGTTACCAAACCCTTTTGGGCCTTTCCCTAACCGTTCTTCTAATCTTATGGTATCCCACAGTCGATACGTAAGTTCATGGTTTTCTGTCTTCCTTTGAGGTCTGTTTTCCCCTCACATGTAACTTTGAAATGGGATGGTGTTTCGTGACAGTGTGTCCCTCTTCCCTTCTAGCCCAGCTTCACCTCCTCAGGGTCCTGCTCCAGCATGTCAGACCCAGGGTTCAACACCGGTGGCTGGAACATAGGTTGGTGAGGGAATGACACAGCACACACTGGACGCTGGCTATTCCTGAGGCGTTGTGAAGGCTGTTCGAGTAGGAAGTTTAGTTGGTGCACATTTTCCATGTTTCTCTTTGGTTCTCATTTCTCTCCATTTAGCACCCAGGGGCAGTATTGATTGGCCTGGCCTTGCATGTTGAATGCACTAGTGTCTAGGAGGGTTTTAAGCTACTCTGAGCAGCTTGAAAAGCTGTGATAGTTCTTGCCATATTCTCAGTAAAACCCAACCCTTTTCCTTCCTTCTCTACATTCCCCCCTTCTCCATTATCATGGGCCATTTCCCATCATCCATTTCTTCCCATGATTCCTTTTAGTGGAGATAATTGAAACACCCTGATGACCAGGTGGCTATAGGGTTTGTTTCATGAGGTAAATATCTTTGTGATTCCTAGATTAAATTTTTTTTTATTTAAAGAATGATCTTAATTTTCTTGATTATAAAAATAGAACATGAGCCAGGTGTGGTAATATATACCTGTAATCCCAACTTCTCAGGATTCTGAGGCCAGCTTGGGCAATGCAGCAAGACCTTGCCTCTTAGAAAATAATCCCATCACTCAGGGAGTAAAGGCAAGAGGATTGGGAAGTTTAAGGCTAGCCTGAGCTACATAGAGAGATCTGTTTATACACACACACACACACACACACACACACACACACACACACACACACACACACACACACACACATCCCTACCTGAGAACATGCATATATATTCATATATATGTGTATGTATGTGTGTATGTATATATGTATGTATCTTACATTTCCTGTAAAGAAGAACAAACAAAGAGTACCAGAAAAAAAAAAAAAAAAAACATAGTCATGATTGATATCTCCATGTCTCTCACTTAATAACATCTGTTAACATTTCAGAACATTTTCTTCCTCTCCCCCTCTCTTTGTGTGTGTGTATGGGTTGGTTGTTATTTGATTTATGCTGTGTTGTGTTTTTCTTTTAATTTTATCACGAGCATTCTCTCATGTCATTTAGCATTTAATAATGAATTGTTGCATCACATCCTACTATATCATTAAGCCATAATTTGCTTAGCTATGGTGTGTACTTAATTACCAGGTTCTCTTGGTGATAAATGCCTGGACAAAGAGGTATACCTCGGAAAGAGTAGTGTAGGATTCCGTTCCTTTTGCTTCAAGATAATCAGGTGGACACACACTGGTGGGTGGGAGGTGGGAGGGGCTTCCTATTCCTGTGCCTTCTCTGACTGCCATCCTTCCTTCTCTTTTGCTTTTCTTTAGCAGGAAGAGAGACAGAACACATGTCTTCACCTTGGGGAGAGTCTTCTCCAGAAGAGCTCCGCTTTGGGAGTCTAACCTACAGTACTGACCCCCGTGAGCGGGAACGCGACCAGCATGATAAAAACAAAAGGTAACCAGCCGCCTTCCCCCGACCACAGCTGCAGAATTCACGGCTTCAGAGTCAGACTCAGACTTTGAGAGGTGGTGTGTAATATTAAATGCCATTAGGTATTGAGCTTGCTTTTCTCTTAAAGGAACTGACAGGGAACCTTTTGGGTTTATCCAGGCTTCTGGACCCTGCCAATACGCAGCAGTTTGATGACTTTAAGAAGTGCTACGGAGAGATCCTCTACCGCTGGGGTCTGAGAGAGAAGCGGGCAGAGGTGCTGAAGTTTGTGTCCTGTCCTCCTGACCCTCACAAAGGGATCGGTGAATATGGATGCTCTTCTTTTTCTGCTTGTCACTGTCTGGAAAGGCCTGTGCTCTAGTTTGCCCATGACCTTAGGTTTGGAAGGTTTACAGGTTTGCTTCTTGTTTACAGCAGAAGACTGAAGCTTTGAGTTTTCTCTAAGCTTCTGAAAACCTTGCATCTCACAACAGGATTCTCTTTCTGTCACAACAGCGCTGTCTTAGACATGGCAGATGATGGATGATTCATTTATTCAGCCACAGTATATCAACTGTGGTAGACACAGTGGAACCCATGGCAGAGTAGAGGGAAAAACTAAGCAATTAAGAATTGTGGCTTAGGGCTTAAGAGCACTGTTCCAGAGGACCTGAGTCCAGTTCCCACCACTCACAAGGTGGTCTCCACTGGTCTGTAGCTCCACCCGGAGGATCTGAAGCCTTCTTCAGGCCTCTGTGCACACTGCATGCATATGGTGTGCAAACATACATGCAGGCAGGACACCCATACACATAAAATAAGATGTATTTGTTTAAAAAAAAAAAAAAAAAGGGTAGACTCAGGAGCTGGAGAGATGACTCAGCTGTTAAGAGCACTGGCTGCTCTTCCAGAGGTCCTGAGTTCAATTCCCAGCAACCACATAGTGGGCTCTGGTGCCCTCTTCTGGCACATGCAGATAGAACACTTATATACATAAAATAAATCTTTAAAGAAAGAAAAAAAAAGACTAACCCTTAAAAAAAAAAAAAAAAAAAAAAACAAAAGGGTAGACTCAGTATGATTTGCTAATAAACTGCGTAGGACTGAGACTGAGGAAGAGAAAGAAAACTTTGATGATTCCTAGTTTTCCAGCTAATGTGCTGAGAGATAGCAGTGACCATAGATAGAAACAAACAGAACACTGGAGCTTGGGGTTGCGTTTGTGTGTGTGTGATGAGATGGCAGTCTGGTGTGTGTGTGTGTGTGTGTGAGAGAGAGAGAGAGAGAGAGGGGGGGGGAAGAATCTGGTGTGTGTGTGTGTGTATGATGGCAGTTCTGGGGTGTGTGTGTGTGTGTGTGTGTGTGTGATGAGATGGCTGGTGTGTGTGTGTGTGTGTGTGTGTGTGTGAGAGAGAGAGAGAGAGAGAGAGAGAGAGATGAGATGACAGTCTGGTGTATATGTATGTATGTGTGTGATGGCAGTCTGTTGTGTATGTGAGAGAGAGAGAGATGAGATGGCAGTCTGTTTTGTGTGTGTGAGAGGGGGGGGGATGTGTGGTCTGGAGAAGTCACACAGTCAGTCAGACGGGAATCTGGTTCTCAGGAGAGGTTGTATTCAGTTGGTAATTTGGGGATACTCACTCTACAGTCGGTATGTAAGCCTATCAGAGTGTGTGTATTATCCAGGCATAGTGGCACACCTTTCTTTAAGTCCAGTACTCAGGAGGAAGTCAGGGGAATCAAATCTCTGTGAGTTTGGGGCCAGCTAGGGGATATGTAGTGAGACTTGTCTCAAAAAAGAAAAGAAAACCTGCATTTATCTGGGAGCTGAGGATGGAAAGGAAGACTAGGGAGTATCGTCTGCTCTGGTCCCGATGGACCTTGAGAGAAATGGGCACTTAGAGTGGCATCCAAGAGGAGGATGGAGAGTTAGGATGGGATATCAGTGAGAAGCCAGACTGTGCCATGGAGGAAATGAAGCAGAGACTTCCTTACAGGAAGAAAATGGAAGACTTGCAGAAGAAGTGGACTGACCACACATTTCCCTTTCTCGCTCAGACCTTAGCAAGCAAGATGTTAATTGCTTAAGGATTAGTAATATTGGCAATCGAACTTGGGAGCTGGGAAATGGCTAAGCTATTGGTAGATGACTTGCAAGGCCTGAGCCAACCAAACCTTGAACTTTTTAGTCAGAAAAACAGGCAGAAAACACTGCCATGGCTTAGGAATCGGGGGGCACCTCGTCCTTTGGGAGAAGCTCAAAGATGAAATTTAAAAGCTTGTCTTGTTTGATGGCCCTTGGAGGATGCTCGAGTTTCCTCTCCTAATTTGTAGAACAAGTCACAACCCCAACAGAAAGCTGTAAGCTTGTTCTGCAGAGAAGAGACACATTTGCAGATTGGGTGGGTCCACCTACCATAGTGAATGCAGAAAGAACAGCACCCAGGGAAGACCTAGAGGCTGAAGGATGAAGAAGGTGGATTGACCCTGGCAACTAGGTGACCAGGCAGCAGATTCTCCAGAATTCTCAGGAAAGGAATTTTTAACCTGGAATTCTGAACCCCTTATGGGCCATGTACAAAATAAACTTTGAGAGTACCTAAGAAGCAGGGTTAGATTTAGTTCAGGAACCGAAGGAATCAGAGTGTTGATGGAGAGCACTCACTGTGACAGTGCAGACGGGTGCTCCAGGAGCCGTTCCTCCCAGGAGAGAAAGCTGAAAAGACAATTGAATGTGTGTCACTGTTGAGTGTATTTATAGAAGATGCAGACATTTGAGGAAGAGTTTGGAGATGAATTATTGATAAGTACATAGCAAACTAAGCAAATGAAAGAACGAGACAGTTACTAATTCTGGGGAAAAACAAAATGTGCAAGAAAGAAAAGTGTCATAGAACATGGCTTGAATAATGTTTGCTTAGGTAAATAATGTATGAGCCAAATGTGGTCTAGCCAAAACAGAGCTGGGGAGATGGAGCCAGGTGGTACTGTATATGGTAGAGAGACTGGAGGAGAGGAGTTTCTGCTGTGGGAAGCCACTAGAAAGTGCTTGAATATGGTACTTAAGAATTAGTTTTGTGTTGGGCATGGTGGTACAAATATCTAATCCCAGCTCTTGCAATGCAGAGGCAGGTGGGTCTCTGAGTTCTAGACCAGCCTGGACTCCATAGTGAGTTCCCAGCCAGCCAGGTCTACATAGAAAAACCCTGATTCAAAAAAAAAACAAACAGAACAGATACGAAATAGCTTTGTGCTCACCTTGACAGCACAAACACTAAAACTGGAAGACCTATAGATAAGGTTAGCATGGCCCCTGCCCAAGGAAGACAGGCTCATGAACCATTTGCTGTTTTGTTTTTGTTTTTGCAGGGAGGCATTCACGGGGTGTTTGGGGGTTGGGGCTGTATCTCTCTACATAGCTCTGGAACTCACTATGGAGACAAGACTGGCCTTGAATTCACAGAGATCTACCTGCCTCTGCTTTCCAAGTGCTGAAATTACAGGTGTATGCCACCACACATGGCTGCATTTCTTGTTTTTAGTCAATATATCATGGAGCTATTTGAACACCACTGTTTGTTACAGCATGATTTATAATAGCTAAGTTATGGACCCAATCAAGTGTCCATCAACAGAGGAGTTCGTAAAGGAATTGTATTCAGCCATCAAGAATGAAATTGTGTCATTTGCAGGAAAATGATGCAACTGGAGATTATCCTTTTAGGTGAACTAATTCCATTTCAAAAAACAAGTGTCACATACTGTCTCTGACTGGTGGATTGTAGATTTTATTTTATTTATTTATTTATTTATTTATTTATTTATTTATTTTGTTTTTTGAGACAGGGTTTCTCTGTGGCTGTCCTGGAACTAGCTCTTGTAGACCAGGTCTTGAACTCACAGAGATCCTCCTGCCTCTGCCTCCCGAGTGCTGGGACTAAAGGCATGCACCATCATTGCCCGGCTGTAGAGTTTAATGTACATAAATCATGTATGTATATGACATGTCAGTAGAAATGGAATTGCCTAAGAGACAAAGGAGCGGGGTGGGAGGAAAAGGGAAGGCAGGGTGTATGGGTGAGATAGGCTCCAAGTACATTCTTTCTTCACATGAATGTCCTTATGACACAGATTCCCTTGCAATGAGTATGGGGCTTGCTTTATAAAGCAGTCTTCAGGCATGAGACAGAGAAAGGGAAGGGTGGCATGAGTAAGTAAGATTTCCTCTAGGGAATGCTTGGGTTTTGATAAAATGCATAAAATTGTTTGACTCTGCATGTCGCATGTGTCTCTAGTTTCCACTTGAAAAAACAAATCAGACCAACATTTGTAAGTATAGACAATAAATAATAAAGTTATTTTAGTAAGGTATATCTAGGTATACATGCTTGAAGAAATGCAAAGATACAAAATTTCATTTTGACAATGTATTATTTTTTTCAGAGCATTTAGATACAGGAGAATAAATCAGGAAGAGATTAATGATAGCCTAGAACAATTTGTCTTTTAAAATTAGTTTCTTGGAAGACATCGGAATCATGGAGATATAGAACTGATGTTTCAGTCATCAGTCAGCCAAACTGTTGTTGACATCTCCTGCTCTAAAGCACCATGCAAGACTCTGCAGGCAACACAAAGAAATAGATATGGGTGGTGGTGCGCCTGTGTGCACCCAGTCCAGAGGGCCTGGAATGTAAGACAGATTAAATGATAGTCAAAAATTATTATTGCCAGGTGTGGGAACGCACACCTGTAATCCCAGAACTTGGGAGGTAGAGGCACAAAGGTCAGGAACTCAAGGCTAGCCTCAGCTGCATATTAACAGCAGATTGGTCTACAGGAGACCCTGCCTCAAAAGGTTAAAAAAAAAAAAAAAAAAAAAAAAAAAAAAGATAAGACAAAAACCCTAACAAACAAAAGCAGAATTAATGTATATCCTAGTAGCAGTAAAAAGATCATCACAGGATTGTAGAAAGGGAGCAGGAGGGTTATGAAAGAGACTCAGAAACAAAACACTAATGGAAGTGGTGACCGCAGATACACAAAGGAGTCAGTCCATCTGAATGTGGAGGAACTAGCTGCCTGGGCACAGGGCGCTGGAAGAAAAATGTCCTCTATGCTCCCAAGACAACAGTTTCCTCTCTGTTCTGTGTGTAACAGACACCAGATCTGCAGACACCAAATAAAATCCAACAGCTCAGCCAAATGTGATAGCATGTATCTGTGCCTATAGTGCCTTGAAGTCTGCAGAGCGTGAGGAGTCTGAGGCCAGCCTATGTTTTAAAGTCAGGGTCAGTTCAGAACAGAGACAGATGCAACAGGACATGGGGAGAGTCACTAAAGATGAGTTTGTTTCCTTAGGGATACTTCTTTCCCTAAAGATTCCTATCTGCCCACATAAGTTTCCTTAAATAAATTATTAATTTTTATTTAATTATATCTTAAAATTCTGCTTTTTTTTTAAGACTAAAAAAATTATGTGTATATGCCTGCCTGAGTTTATGTATACCACATGTAGGAGCCCATGGAGGCCAGAAGAGGGCATTAGACCCCTTGAAACTAGAGTTACAGGTGGTTGTGAGCCTCTACGTGGGTGCTGAGAATCAAATTCAGGTCCTCTGGAAGAGCAACAAGTGCTCTTAACCACTGAGCCATCTCTCCAGCTCTCTCCTAAGTAATACCTTTTCATTAAAAGAAAAGGCAGGAGCTGGCAAGATGGCTTAGTGTGTAAAGATGCTTGCCACCAAGCTTGACAGCCTGAGTTCTGGTCCCTCTCTGGGTCTACATGGTGGAAAGAAAGAACCAAACCACAATTTGTCCTCCGACCTCCACATCCACGCTGTGGCATGTGTGCACCCATGCACATATACCCAAAACAAATAAATGTAATAAGAAAGCCAAAGCTATTTTAAAACAGTAAAAGGCAGTTTGCATAACACATGACCATCATTTGGGGCAGTTTTATAGATGTGGTAACTCCGTATATGACTGTTTGCTATAGTCTTCTTGTCCTTATGCATTCCCATGCAGTACATCTTATAATCTATACTAAGAACTATTGTTGGATCCTTTCTCTTGAATTCTAGAGGGTTAACTGTAATAAGATAGCATTGAAGCAAGTTTTTTTGTTTTTGTTTTTGTTGTTTTTTTTTTTTGTTTTCCGAGACAGGGTTTCTGTGTGTAGCTTTGGAGCCTATCCTGGCAGTCACTCTGAAGTCCAGGCTGGCCTCGAACTCACAGAGATCTGCCTGCCTCTGCCTCCCGAGTGCTGGGATTAAAGGTGTGCACCACCAACGCCAGGCGAAGCAAGTTTTATTTCAATGTATCTAAGTATAACTTTAGAAGGATGGAGATAGAAAAAGGAAATAAGATTTTCTTTATAGCTTTAATTTTATAGATTTCTTTTATGTTCACAGTGTTTTCCTTGCATGTATATGTGTGGTTTTGGGTGCTGGGGACCAAACCCAGGTCCTTAGAAAGACAGCAAGTGCTCCACACTGCTGAGCCAGTTCCCCAGGTCCAGTTGTTCCTGCTGTCAGAAGGAAGGAGAGGTGCCACCAACCTCCAGAAATTTGAAGAAGTGGTAGTGCAGATGAAGGGGTCCCCCAGCCCCCATTTAAAGGCTTCTGTTTGCTCAGGGAAGTTAGAAGAGAGGACAACAGGCAACAGACAACAGCAAAGGCACCTGGGAGGAATTTGCAGAGTGTGGCAGAGATCCCAGGTAGCAGCATGAGGAAGCGAGGAGAAGCAGGGTTATACTGTGCCTGGGCTCTTTTCTACTCATGAATGAAGTCACACATGCTTTTCAGTGGGAGCCTTCAGGGTGGCTTTGCTTCCCAGGGCAGATGTGCAGTGGGCAGGTATATGGCTAAGTCAGGGTAGTATCAGGAAGAGAAAAGTGTTATTCTTTTGTTTAAATTAAAAATAAAGAAGAAGAAGGGGTGCAACATAAGACACAGGATGAGACATATTAGACATATTAACCAGTTTATTATAGGCCTGGCAGAGTAGGGAGACTAAGAGAGAAGAGAACCAGAGTACTGCCTGTTCCACCAGGTAACAGGGGCAGGCCAGCATAATGCCTGAACCTTTCCAGGGGTTTTCTGTGTAGCTTGGGAGCCTATCCTGGCACTTGCTCTGGAGACCAGGCTGGCCTCGAACTCACAGAGATCCTCCTGCCTCTGCCTCCCGAGTGCTGGGATTAAAGGTGTGGGCCACCAACGCCCAGCATGCCTGAACCTTTCAATCCCACCTTATTATTTAAAAAGGTGGGGTGTTGGACATGGCAGAATGTTAAATTTTTGCTTAAATTAGAAATAAAGAAGAAAAGAGGCAGATGAGACATAGGACTAAGAGACATATGAGACATACTAAGCAGTTTATTATAGGCCCGGCAGAGTAGGGAGATGAAAGGAGAAGAGAAACAGGGCTAATGGCTGACCGCCATGGCCGGTTGCCAGAGGGGGGGGGCAGACAGAGACGAGAAGAGAGTGTAGAGAGAGAAGTGTAGAGAGTAGAGAGAGCGTAAATGGGCAGGGATCCGTCTTTTAAAGGGGTCCTCTGCACCTGAGTGCAGACTTAGTTCCCATGGAACCCTGGGCTGACCAGGATACTGCCTGTTCCACTAGGATCTGAGTATATTTTCAAACAGGACCGTGAAATTAGTCCAGGTACTCCAGGTTGGCTAAAGAAGAATGTGCAACCAGAAAAGGCAGATAGATCAAAGAGGCAGAGGTGTGGACTAGAGAAGGTAAAGGACTAGAGAAAGCTGAAAGGACAGTGTCAGAAACCTAGCAGATAGATTTTGGGAACTAAGAAATGGAGTAAGGATGGCAACCTGAGACTAGAAGTTTTCCATGTGCGTGTGCCTATGTGTCTGTGGAAAGTTGATAGATGACAGTAAAGGAGAAAGGTTGGTGAAGAGTAATCTGAGGCAATAATGGGACATGGTACCCACCTTTCCTGTTACCAAAGGACATAAGGAATGGTGTTTCACACAAGGCATGTAGACAGCCAGAATTTGGCTAGAGTTAGGTGGTGAGGGCATGGTTCTGAGAGGAATAGATGGGACATACAGAAAGGTGTGTAGTCTGCATGGCCCCATAGGAGCAGAGGTGAGCTAGGGACATACAGGCTGGCATACCAAATAGAAACAGAAGCATAGCAGTGCTCTCAGGAGGTAGAAACCCTGCCCTAGCATGGAGGTGGAACAGTGCCATGGGTATCCTGGCATGGGCTAACTTACTGTTCAGCCAGTAGGAAACCACTTTTAAGGAAGTAAAAGCTACTGGCTTTCACCTAAGTGTTTTTTGAGTCCTTCCGTTCTTTCTACAAGGAATAGTAAAGGCATCAAATGTAGTGACCCTCTTGCAGAGTACAGGGTTTCCCACAGGACCTCAGAGAAAGGATGCTGGCTATGCCCCTGCCCTCATTCTAGCAGTAAAGACAGATCCCAGTTAGTAGACATATCTAGATTGTGGGAGTTCTATCATTTAAAAAAGAAATTTGGCCTTCTGGCCCTGGTGGCACATACATTTAATCCCAGCACTCAGGAGGCAGAAGCAGGCAGATCTCTGGCTATCCTTGTCTACAGGGAGGGAGGGAGGGAGGGAGGGAAGGAAGAGTGGAAGGAGGAAAGGAGGGAGGAGGTTGAAGAGATGCCTCAGTCAGTAAAATGCCTGCCACATAAGCAACACCCAAGTTAAAATCCAGTGTCATGACACTCATCTGTAGCCCTATAACCAGGACTGGGAAAGATGAGGATCCCTGCTTGCTGGGCAGCCAGTCTAGCCAGTGTTTTGAAAAAATAGGGCAAAGAAAGATAGACACCTGACATTGTCATCTGCCCTCAACATATACACCTGCACCCACACATATATTCAAACTCACACATACACTACACAGACATGCATGGTAATGAAAAGAAGAACAGAGCTGGGTTGTAGCTCAGAGTGCTTGCTCATCATGTAGTGAGACCCAGGTTCGTTCCATCCCTAGCACCACATAAAACTGGGCATGGTGGTTTATGCTTGTAATCCTAGCACTCAGCAGGGTAAGGAGTTCAAGATCATCAACTACATCATGAGTTCAAGGTCAGCCTGGGCCACACAAGACCCTGCCTCAGAAGAAAAAAGAGAAATCACTGACCTACTAGAACCAGACAGAATCCTGGGGGATAGGTAGCTACCCGGCACTACCCAGTCTTCTTTTACTAGAACCAAACTAATGTTGCTTCTTTCCTTGCCCATCTCTACCCGTTTCCAGAGTTCGGTGTGTACTGCAGCCACTGCCGGAGTGAAGTCCGTGGCACACAGTGTGCAATCTGCAAGGGCTTCACATTCCAGTGTGCCATCTGCCATGTGGCTGTGAGGGGGTCATCCAACTTCTGCCTGACCTGTGGGCATGGCGGCCATACAAGCCACATGATGGAATGGTTTCGGACCCAGGAGGTATGTCCCACTGGATGTGGCTGCCACTGCCTGCTGGAGAGCACCTTCTGAACTTGAAAGGTGATGGTAATGTCCAAAATCCCAGAGGACGCCATAAAATGCTGGAGGAGGCTTTCTGCTGCTGGTGGTGGAAAGTTCCAGAACCCGGGCTATCCCCAGTGATTCAGACTGTCACAGCATCTGCTCCGCATGAGACTTTGCCTTCCCTTCAGTATGGCTGTCAGGGCATGGATGGTGCTGGTTGAAAGGAGGGGGAGCACAGAGTTTGCTTCCTGCACCGTCTATTGAGTCCACAGTGGATGCTTTCATGGGGAAAAGCACCTGTTTCCAGAGCCAGCATTAGCCTTTCAGGAGTTGTCCTTGAACCAGGAATGGTCTCTCCAAATGCCAGTACAAAATCACATCAGCTGCAAAAGACAGTCTCCCGAGCCAAAAGACACTGAGCCCATGACATCTGTGACTTTAGAAGCTGGTACCTTTGATGAGTTAATGAACAGAGGCCTTATAAAATATAATACTGAAGTGTAGTATATGATGTACTTAGATTTCTTTTTCCTAGTCCAGGCGCTTGAACTTGGGGCCTTGTACATAATAGTGAGCAGCTGTACCACAGAGTTACATTCCCAGCCCCTTAAGGAGTCCTAAGATGTATATATTTTCAAGCTTGTCCTCCATCTGCTTTTCCTGGACTAATAAAGCTTTATACTTGTTTGAGAGAGAGAGAGAGAGAGAGAGAGAGAGAGAGAGAGAGAGAGAGAGAGAGAGAGAACAGGAAGCTGACCGTTTTAGTGGTTCCTTTTGCATTGTACTTCTGATTGAAGTTAATTGTTTTGGAAAGGACGAGAATTAGTCCCGTGACTTCTAAAGAAAATGCTGTTTGACTTTGATCATCTGACAGGAGGAAATAGAATCTGACATCAAGGTTCTTCCTAGCCTCAAGAGTCTCATAATTATTTCTCCTAGCAAAAGGGAAATGAGATTGCATTTCAGCATTGATACCAAAGCCTCTCTCTGCCTCTGGACATGCTCGCTGGGCTCCGGGGGGCCTTTTTACTTGAACTCCCTTGAAAACTCATCTCAGTTCCTCCTTCAGGATTTTTAGTGCTTTCACATGCACGTATACCAGGGATGAGAATAAAAACAAAACAAAAAGCCACTATACTGAAATTTCTGTCTTAGAAATATAAGTTCCTTGGACATGTGGTCTCAGGTGGGGGAAAGGTACCTGCCACTAAGCTTAATAACCTAAGTTCCATCCCCAGGACTCACATGATGGGAGAACTGACTCACAAAAGTTGTTCTCTGACTTCCACATGTGTGCTGTGATGTGTGAATGTACACACAGACACACACCAAAAATGTAATTAAAAAGTTGTATGATTCCAAATTGATTAACTTGGGAGACATAAGTAATTTGTGTCATTGGAGTATGGTTGCACGTGCCTATAATCCCTTCGTTGAGGCTGAGGTAAGAGGATTGCAAGTTTGAGACCATCCTGGGCTGCCTAGTGAGTTCAAGGTCAGCCTAATTTATATAGTAAGACACTATCTTAAGAACAAACAAGTAATAAAAACAAGGTCTGAGGGACATAGCTTAGTGATTGAATGCTTGCCTAGCATGCATGATGTCATGAGTCAATCCTCAGCAATACACTCACACATCACTACCAACAACAACAACAATAAAACACCTACATATCCCATAATAGAATGTTGTGTATCACTCTGTCTGAAACTGTGATTTAAGACCCATGAAAGGATTAGGCAACCAGTCTTGTAGATTAAAACCAACATTTATAATTTTAGGGATCTACTTTATTTGTGTGTATGAGTCTCTGTGTGTGAGTGTTTGTTGTGTAGGATAGAAGAGGGCATCTGGGTCCTTGGTGCTAGAATTACAGGTGTTTGTGGGACACCTTGATTGTTACATGTGTATTCGGGGATCCTAACTTGGGTCTTCATGACTACAAAGCAAAGACTCAACCGTTGAGCCATCTCTCCAGCCCCCAAACCTTCATTTAAAGGAACTGCAATAATTTGGGAGAGAAATGATCACGTACTAACACACACAGTATGTTTACCAGTGTGTACACACACACTTGCACTTATATCATTCTGTCAGAAAAATGGATGTGGTGTAGACCTGTAGGTAAGGGGTTAGGGAAATCACCTAAGCAACAGAATACGTTTAGAATTAGTTCCAGTAGCTCTGGAACAATAATTTAGCAAATAGGGCTGTAAATCACACACCCACTACTTGATGGTCACCTTTTTTATTCCATCCTCAAAGCTAGAGGCAGTAGGTGTCACACCCATTCTCAAAGGGTAGATGCTAGGGTATAAAACACACTTTTCCACAGGCGTAGACTCTGGTGTTCTTAAAAGAATCAGAAATAAACCTGTTCCATTGATGTTCTATGCATTAGCAGGTTTGTGTTTGACCCACCACTGTGTTGTTGGTTTCCTTCTTAAATCTCAGAAGGCCTAGTTTTATTTATCAAGTATTTATGTGCGGTGGGCACTATGAAAGAGTTGAGTTGCACCACTGTGGGCTCCGCTGGGGCGGGGGTCGTCTAGTAGGAAGTGTGTTTATGTAAGAGTATCTATCTACCTTGTGCTCTGGCCTCCAGGGAAGAAAGGAATAACTAAGAGCTGAGGGCATCGAGAGGGGATAATTAGGCTGAGCTCCTTTGAAGGGTGGGTGCTTTCAGTAGGGAAGAGTGCAAGGGCACACGAAGGGCTTTGCCAAGGACAGATAGGACACACAGCACTGAAGAGCATGTGCAGTTGCTTATCAGCGGAACACAGACTGAAGCTGATAAGCAGGGCTGGGGAGAGGCAAGTGTCAGAACACTGCGCCAGGGAGTCTGGGCTTTATCTGGAGTCTCCGTCCTTCCTGGACTCAGAAGCTGCTGCTGGGTTCTCCCTCCTCCATACCCTCTTGCCCTTTAGGCTTGGGACTCTATAGCCCACCCTGCCTGTTTGGAGCAGGGTCAGTATCCAGCCCTCACCATTGCTTCATCCTTTTCTTGTCCAGGACAAGCAGCTAGCTAATGCCCATTTAAACCACTAACACAGTACACTTTGTGTCCAGTGTGTGTAGGCCTTGTACCCCATACACCAAGACACTGCAACAAATGCCAGGTGGGTAGCCTTTGGTTCACTTTAGATCCTAAAGACACAGGGTTTAGTCTCTCACAAGACTACCCCACTTTAACCTTTTATACTAATTACATAAATATTTAAATTTCATTAGTTCTATCCTTTCTATCCAACCCCCCTATATGATTTTTCATTTGTAGGGTTGTTTTTATTTTTATTTTATTTTCACAAATCAAAAAGGATTCAGAGGAGCAATAGAGGAAGCACACTCACATAAACAAGCCACAGTCACTCACCCTCCGTCCTAAGCTCTCGGCATTGATGATTTTCAGGAACATTCTAAAATGGCCCAATCTTCGTAGCACACAATTTAAATCCTAAGACTTGGGAGGTGGAGGAGGATCAGGCGCTCAAGGTCATCCTTGGCTGTGTACTCAGTTTAAAGCTAGTCTGGCTGCAGAAGGCCCTGCCAAGAGTTGGGAGGAGGGAACAAATGGAATTGAACTGAATAGTAGTAGTATGACTTTTTAAGACTGACTTTTTCACCCAGTGTTAGTCCATTGAAGTCCATGCAAGTCACTATCTGTGTTAGTGGTTTATTCCCTGCCTGTATTAGTGGTTTATTCCCTGCCTGTGTTAGTGGTTTATTCCCTGCCTGTGTTAGTGGTTTATTCCTTTATATGGTTGAGTAGTCATCCCTCTATGAGTGTGCTGCAGTGTACTTGACCATTCAACTGGAGGGCGTTAGGGGTGCTTTCATTTTTTTTAAAAATTTAACTCTGAACAAAATTTAAGATTTATTTCTAGAGTGTGTGTGTGTGTGTGTCTGTCTGTCTGTCTGAGTATATGCCACACAGTTAAGGGTATCTGCAGAGAGCAGAAGAGGGTGTCAGATCCCTTGGAACAGGAGTTATGGATGATGGTGAGCTGCCTGAGGTGGCTTCTGAGAACCAAACCTGGGTCTTTTGGAGGAACAGTGAGTGCTCTTCACCACTGAGCCGCATCTCCAGACCTCAGTGTTGTTTTCATGAGCTAGGCGGGCTGGTTCAGGCTATATTCCCAGCATTTGGGAGGCTGGAGCAGGAAGATTACTGCAAGTTAAACTTTAAGGCCATGGTGAGATATAGAGCAAAACCCCATCTCAAAGCAAAACAAAAGAAAGAAAACTGGTTTAATTTACTTTTATTTTTATTTGTTTTAAAGGTTTATTTATTTATTATGTATACAGTGTTCTGCCTGAATTTCCTGTAAGCCAGAAGAGGGCACCAGATCTCATTACAGATGATTGTGAGCCACCATGTGGTTGATTACTGGTTACTGAACTCAGGACCTCTGGAAGCACAAGCAGTCAGTGGTTAAGAGTATACACCACTCTTGAGGGCCCAGGTTCAGTTCTCATGCCTTCTTCTTGTCCCTGTGGGCATGTGCACTCATGTGTGATAGACACAGGCACACAAACACGCATAATTAGAAGAAACTCTACAAAACAAATGTTTTTAATGAAATCAGTGCAACTTTACATGAGAGTATATAAAACTAAGAATCTTCTGTATCTCTAGCAATCAATACATATTTTCATACAAAGTGTGCAAAGAGGTGTTTGTTGACAGAAAGTATGATTTTGTGCTTTACAGTGATATTTACTTTTCTCACTTAAAAAAAAATGGGCTTATTAATCTCCTGGAGTACAATTGAAGTGAGGGAGGAGCAATAATATGATCAAAGGAGTCAAGACCACGATGGGGAAACCACAGAATCAGCTGACCAGAGCTAGTGAGAGATCACTGACTCAGGTCTGACAAATGGGGAACCTGCATAAGACTGAACTAGACTCCCTTAATATAGGTGACAATGGTGTGACTGGGACAATATATGAGGCCACTGGCAGTGGGTCCAAGATCTAACACTAATGCACAAACTGACTTAGTGGAGCCCATTCTATATGGAGAGACACCTTGCCCAGCCTAGACACATGGGTGTGGGGGTGGAGAGGTGCCTTGGTCCTGCCTCAATGAGATGATGGGACAGACTTAGTAGACTTCCTAGGGGAGGCCTTACCCTCTCTGTGAAGCAGATGGGAGGTGGGAGGAGGAAGTGGGGGTAGTAGGAGGAGAGGAGGGAGGGGGAACGGGGATTGGAATGTAAAAAATGAATTAAAATATGAAAAAATAAATAGAAGAATCAATGAAAAAAATGGGCTTAATGAAAGCTGGGTGGTGGCAGCGGCGCACGCCTTTAATCCCAGAAGTTGGCAGGCAGAGGCAAGCAGATCTCTGTGAGTTTGAGGCCATCCTGGTCTACAAGAGCAAGTTCCAGGACAACTAATGCTACACAGAGAAACCCTGTCTCAAAAAACAACTATTACAACAAAAAATGGGTTGAATGTCTGGAGAAACAGCTCAGTGGTTAAGAGTACTTCCTATTTTTCCAGTGAACCCAAATTTAGTTCCCAGTACCCACAGGCCACAACTGCCTGTAACTCCAGCTCCAGGGAATCTGATGTCCTCTTCTGGCCTCGATGGGCACCCCCACACATGTATGCATACACACAAACATACACATAAATAAAAGATAAAAATAGGCTTTGTGTCACTCCAGTAATAGACGTTGTTCAAGAGTGACTGTTTTCGGCAGTAATTCCTATGAAATAACAAAAATGGGTTCAGTAATGTCCCGGTCCCGGTCCTGATCAGAACAAATTCAGGGTAGATCTTGATTATCCCTACTCCTCCCAGCTAAATCCAATTGTAAAACCTGAAAATACCACAATGGTCAGCCAAAGAACCCGTAAAAATTGGGGAAAGAAAGGTAAATCAGTTTACCAGGGCTGGGGAAACAAAAACATCCAGCACTTTCCAGCCTCAGCCCTGGCAGCGGGAGTCAGTCAGGTGAGAGCTCCATCACACCAGGCAAGCCTGCAGTACCATCAAGTGTTGGAGTCACACAAGTAACAGGGAGGAGCTGCACTACCTCCCACTCCCCCTGTTCCCATTAAAGACACCTGATAACTCAATCATACAGCAAGTGATCCCCCAAGAAGCACCCTTTCCTCATTGCACCTGAGACCCCTTTTACTGGCAAGGGACATCTCACTTCAACAAGTACCTGGCTTGGGAAATATAGTTGTTCCCATGTGCTTCATGGAACCAAGAAGCCCCACCCTGGAAAACTTCTTTGACCCTTCAGAGAGCATCAGTGGGGACCAGTGGGTTTAGGTGGTGCCAGACAAGTTAACCAAACCCAAATAATACCAAAGAACCTCAGAAAATTAAATTGTTATCGGAACCCCAGCAACTCGAG